ATACGTGCCGAGGTGCAAAAATTGCATCGCGTTTAATTATCAATTTACAACGTTTGCGCCGTGCGAGTGAATGCGCGCGTTTTGTAATGCGTGCGCGCGCAACGAACGCGAGATGATCCGTCATCGTTTGGGAGGTTTGAAAAATACCATTGGATATTTTCGAATACGTTTCGTACGCTCAAAAGATGCTTTTCTATATGAGTACATTAAACGTGTATGCAAGAGGATCTACAGTATAATTGCTTATTCGTTTTAAAATTTTAACGGACTCCGTCTAATATAGGTATTACACGTTTGGCATTTAATACCTCACTGTTCGGACCTAGCGAAACCAATCAATGAACACGAAATTTAGAAGAAATACTTATGGTAGAGGAATATGTTAGTTTTATTTTCCCGGAATCCAAGTGTTCAAAACTAAAACAATTTTGTGCTATACAAAGGTGAGTGGAGTGCCGTGATGTCGAAACGGTGTTTCCTGATCTTCGACTTGCTATTATTCATGCCTTGAACACCATATACCTGTATGCTTGTACAATATGTATATAACATGCATCTCGATTAGATTTATAAGCTACATCTTGATTTAGATGATTAATGTGATTGTGTTTTAACATGAGGATGAACTGAATTAATATAAGGCACAAAAAAAAAAAATAAGAATTAATTAAGAGAAATTTACATCCCTATCATCCGTTCTCTTATCCAATTCATTCTTACCGCTGGCTTCCTCATATAACGCTAATATGTAATTACATAGTCTGTTAATTTTTTTTTTTTTTCTTTATTTGTCTGTTTTCCTTTTTTGATACATAATTATTTTATAATCGCTTTGCTATAATTATTTTTTAATAAAAGGCAAATTAAAAAAAGAAAAAAAAAAAATTAAGAGAAAAATCTCAAATGAATTACCTACACTTTGTGGCGAAGACGAAAAAGTGAATGAACTAAAATCAAAAATGTGGGCTTTAAAAAAGGAGCAATTTCGTGACCCAATATCATGGATGAAATTATGTTTATTTTCTAGTTGTAGAAAGTGTTGGACTACTATAGAAAAAATTTTACTGAGTAATATGAATCCGATTAATTAAAATTATTACTATTATATTGTAACATATAATTTATAAATGGTAAAGTCGACCCATGGGATTTCGACGGTAATTTTATTTTTTGTAATAGTTCAAATAGTTCACTATTCAAGCGTATTCGTAGAGATTTCGATCTAAAGAGTCCACATCCAATTAATCGCATATTACATAAATTCAATCAAACACTAAATTTTGCTGTTAAAAGATGGACAAGGTGTTTATTCATTGTAATTTTCGAAAACTATGTAATTATTCAGTACAATTATATTAGTCGATCATAGTATTAAAATATAATTATATATGTACATATATATTGAGTGCGTATAAAATACGAGTATATCATATACATTCGCAGTATTTATAAATTATTCATAAAATATACAATTTCAATACGTTATTATTGAAAAACTCTGAACTCAGTTGACGTGGACAATATAAATGCTATATTTATTAATGATGATGTACATAACATGCGACTGAATAGATAAATAAATAATTAATGATACTATAGATGTAATATATAGTTGTGAGTTAATTTCGTTGATTAATAAGATTTTTTTTTTTTTTACATTAATATTTTAATTTAAAATACTTTTAGTTGATCGTGAAAACTGCAATGATTCTTTTTTACTCGCGCATACTTAATTGTTACACGAACTTGAACGTGAACAAAATTACTTAATTTTCGTTCGATACGCCGTACGTCCGTTTAACAGTTCGTATTGATTTCGATGAAAAAATCGTCTGCCGTTTAATTCAAATGGTTTTGTACGGTATACATTTCAACCGGCCATCGGTACATAAGATTTGACGTTGTTCAAAACAACGGCGAATATTAGGGATAGTATTATTCGAGCACATGCACTAGCCGTTGAGTTGGTAATTAATCCTCGGCGAACAGTACGAATATGTATCAAACTGTAAAAGTTGTACCTTAAAGCGGGTCCATGGTGTCGTCCGGACTAAAAGTTCCCTGCCTCGGAAACGTTTTGGGTACCGTGATATGTATATGTATAAAAAATTCATAAATCAGAACATATTTTAAGTTATTTTCACTAGGTGGCACTCCAGTAAAATTATCTACCGTCATAGTTCATAGGCGTGGTGTTCTACATGGGAACGTATAGGGAAAATCAACTCCTGTCACTATGGTCGTTATGAGAATGTATTGGTTAGTGGCACGATCACCCACCGCTGGGTAGCATTCAATAATCACTCGGTGGCACTAGTGCTACGTATTTTATATGTTAAAATATACTTCGTCACAAACAGTTACGTTTTTATCCGGATATTTTCGCAATCGGGCAGTTTCGTAACACGGGTGTTTTTACTCGGACATTTTTAGTGGAACGCGATTTCGAACCGCAAGTATATCGCATTGCAACCCCGTGCAGAATATTGTCGTTCCGACGCGGTGCATTACGTAGGTTCCGTAACAATCCGCCTGCGTACGTTGTTTTCCGGGGCATCAGCAATAATTGTTATTATTAATAATTAATAATATAATACTTAATTATCAAGTGATCAATGCCGGAAAGTTCGTTACGACCGTAGTTTTCGGTCGTCGCAGCTGGACTGTGTAGACAACGGTCGCACGTCGAAACCGTACACGATAGACACACCAGCGGGGTACACCGCGTATAACAATAATAATACAACACAATAATAATGGCAGTGAAATTAATAAAGCCAAGCCGATTAGACGGACAAAATTGTAATAATAACTGTTACGCGGCCGTAAAAAAAAAAAAAAAAAAACCAAAATAAAAAAATACGTACATAACGCGAACCCGCATGTACACGAGCGCTTGTAAGTGCCGTTGTGTGTACCGGTAATGAAGTGCTCGTACCGGGGTAGACTCGCGGCTAATAACCCGGTATGGACGTACGATATGACCACGCGATTCGGACATTACGACAGTATATTTTAACGATTTTTTTTCTTCTACTCCTTTTAATAACTCTATTACGCCCGACCGCTGTTATTGTTATTCAGTCGTTTAATACTTGTAAAATACCCTAGCGCACTTCCTCTGCGTTTTCAATACGTATTATTGGTGTACTCTCCGCGGTTCAACGCGAGATCACCGAGAACCACTAATTAAAAAAAAGTAGATTAACATTTTTCAAACCTAGTTAATATTTTTTTCCTTCTCAACTTTTAACATATCGAGTTAAATTTATGAACTGTTAACTGTTAACTTTTAACTTATCGATCTTGTGTTCTCTTAACTTAACTCAAGTTAATTATTTTCATTAACTTGCCCACCTTTGCACACCTTAACGTGGTATGCCTTCACTCTCAGATACATGGATGCGTTTCGTTCCGTTACGATTTATCACTAGTTCATCGTCAACCTTACAGTATTGAAATTCAAATATGTGTGCCTCCCCGATATTCTGTATTTTCGGTTTACTGTATGACAAGTATATTTGTTTTTGATTTATGCGATAGGCAGAGGTGGCGTCAGGAATTTTATTTTTTTAGTATGGGCTCATAGGAGGCCAGCAGTTACTAGGTAAAGCCATTAAAAGCCAGATTTCATCAAAATAATAATAATTAATATGAGCTAATAAGTATATTTTAAAATGTTACATGATTACAGCAGCGTTACAGCAAAACTACTTTAAATATAATACGGCTTGTGAAAAATGACTATATTATTATATCAAAGTTCAGGCCAATGGTGGGCCACTGGTAGGGCCAGCCATTTTCTGATAGGGTCATGGCCCTACTTTACCCGTCATTGGCGCTGCCAAAGACGGCTTCACAGAAGCGCAGAAAATTGTTTGTTGTCGGCCGCACTTATTTCATTAGTCGTAGTTTATAGAGCTGTGCACTTAAACAATGCGCTATAAAATAAAAACTTAATAAAACAAATACATTAATATCGTAAAGAAAATGCATTAATAATTCTTTAAATTTCCAAGATTGCCCTTATAAATTTTATTATTACACGAAACCCTTGAATTGTTAAATACATATAAACTTTCCAAAAATATTTTGTTAATAGTCTAAAGAACGGAAACAAACAATTTTAACGGTTTCGCTAAAAAACCATACACTGATAAAATCTACATAAATATACATAATATGTTTATAAATAGTAGGTCATGTATAGGCATAACTTTTACGTCTTTTATACGCATTCGAAAATATTTTCTTTACTAAGCGCTTGAAATTAGCTTAAACCTTCAAACCGATGCTAAGAAGCCCTCAAATTGACTTCGACTGCAAATGTCTTACAGCGCTACGAGTGGCTAAAATTAACACATTAATGATAAAATTAATCGGTAATTGACAATATACAATTACGTAGAGGCGCATTTAAGGGAGGGCGAAGGGAGCATACGACCCGAGCGCTGAGATTTTAGAAGGCGCCAAAATTATAGAAGCGCGTCAAATTTTTTTTTTCATGCCTAGAGGCTTGTTAGATCGTAAAAACTACTTTTTTTACTAATTGCTGAGTCCATTTTGAGTTCTGATACACAAAAGTTTGATGGAGAAAAATAAAATTTAACGACCATAAAATTATTCCGCTTGATAATCTAGATTGATTTTGTGTAAAATATAATGGCCTAGTCTGGTTGTTGAACAGTAAACACGATTTTAAATTTGTAATCTGTCAGATAGTGACACTGCGACCGAGTAATTTAATAATTAAATATAAATTATATCTTAATTTACCGTAATTGTTTATTGTTTTTTCTTTAATGGTGGGAAAGGAGCGCCTATAAAATATTTGCCCCAGGGTGACTTTTATCTAAATGCGGCACTGTCTAGACGATCCTTTGAATCCAAATTTTTTTTTTTTTGGCCGTTCACTCGTGGGCCCGTAAAGATATCTACGCGAACAGCTGTTCGGGTCTCGTTTTCTTATCGTCTTCGTGATAACGGGAACGGACTGCGCCGATGCAGATTAATAGATAAATATTTTTTGCGGCGGCGCAACGAGCTGCTTGTTTTTAAAAACAAATCACCAACGGCGTAAACGGTGACGTTGCGTACAACAAATAATAAATCATTTAAACGGCCGTGCCGACGAAATGATACCGAAATCGGCGTACGCGAATTTGCACCGAATGATCGGTTCGGCGAAACACCACGTCGACAATCCAACGAGGTAAAAACCGCATCATTATCACCGTCGTGGCGTGCGTGGACGACACCCAAATAATACTTCGAATTAATCTTACGAAGTTTTTACGTTTTTCATCATGGACAGAAGGAACACAATCTGCTTGTTCGACGTCGACGGCACGGTAACCGATCCCAGACAGGTGAGTGAGTTCGCGGCGGTCTCTGTGCGCATGACATATATACAGTCGTTCATTCGAGCATTCCTAATTTTCCTCATAGCCGATCGACCCGTCCATGCGGTCGTATCTGATCGACGAGCTCAAGACCAAATCCCACATCGGCCTAGTGAGCGGTTCGGACGTGTCGAAGATAAACGAACAATTGGGAGGATCAGAGTGTAAGACTATAAGACACACCACTGTGGGATATCAACCATAAAGTATAAACTGTGCCTATAAATTATGTCTGTGTTTGTAGATATGGCCAAATTTGATTATGTATTTGCCGAGAACGGCTTGGTAGCGTTTAAGGACGGCGCAGAGTTCAAAAGACAAGTAACTATCTATCTACAAATCTAGCTGTTTAAATAACATGCTTTATAAAACTGTTAATTTTTTTTATTGTGTTTAGACTATTGTTGATTATTTGGGCGAAGATAAACTTCAAACATTCATCAACTTTGCTCTGGGCTATATGTCAAAAATCCAATTGCCAGTGAAACGTGGCAATTTTGTAGAATTTCGAACTGGCATGATCAATATCAGTCCAGTCGGACGGTCTTGTTCAAAAACTGAACGGGATCAGTTTGAAGAGTATGATACAGTACATAACATCAGAAAAACATTCATAGAAAGCATTAAGAAAAATTTACCTGACATCGGCTTAACTTATAGTATTGGTTAGTATTTTGGTAAGCTAGCAATGTAAAATTGAAGTTTAAAACACTTGTATTTATCGTATAGGTGGTCAAATAAGTTTTGATTGTTTTCCTATTGGATGGGATAAACGGTTTTGTCTACGTTATATAGAAGACCAGTTCAAAGGGAATATACATTTTTTTGGTGATAAAACATTTGTCGGAGGGAACGATCATGAAATTTTCAATGATCCCAGAGTCCAAGGGCACACAGTGACAAATCCAAAAGATACTGTATCACAATTAAACAATTTATTTAATAATAAAATGTAAAGTATTATAAATAATGTTGTATACAATTTGACAAAATTTGACTGTTGTATAAAGTAAAAATTATTAATAATAATATAAATAAATACAATAAAAAAATGTATCACAACTGAAATATATAAAACATGAGTAACTTTTATACAAATTTAACGAGTTGATTGTTGAATTCATTCATAAATACTGATACCTGAGAAAATGTAGGCCTTTCATTTGGTGCTAACGCCCAGCAACATGCCATCACGGTAAAAAGTTCATCCGGGCAGTTGACTGGTTGAGTTAATCTAAAACCATCTTGAAGATAAGCAGACATCTCAAATGGATCAATGTCGGCGTAGGGCTGTTGGCACAGGGTCAAGAGTTCCCATAGTAGAACACCAAACGACCAAATGTCTGAAGCCGTACTAAATTTCTTGTGCTCCAAGCTCTCGACTGCCATCCATTTGATAGGCCTATTCTTGTTGTCACCCAAACAGTGATAGTCGCTAGGGAATAAATCTCTGGACAGGGCGTTGTCAGCTATCTGGATTTTCAGTGCTGGGTTGACGAGACAGTTACGTGCAGCAACATCTCTGTGTAAATGTCTGTTCCTGTGCAAATACTGCATGCCATTTATGATCTGTATGGTCATGTCAATTATTTCTCGGGTGGTCAACGTGTATGACATGCTCTCCGATGTCTTGCAGTTTTGCAAGAATTTTTTCAGATTTGTATTGTCGTTGTGTGGGTACACCAGAAAAGGTTCAACGTGCTGTTCGACGGACACGGCTTGTATGGTCAATATGTTCTTGTGACAGAGTCCGTACATGCTCAAGCCCTCGTGGAGTAGTACGGATATTTGTACGGCGCTCGCTTGATCCGTGACGGTCTTGACGAACACGTGTTCGTCTTGGCCGTTGGCGTCGGCGTACAGGGCTCGATAAACGCGTCCGAAAGTGCCTTCCAGTTCGACGTTTTGCAACCGTACGCGGTGCCTCGGGACGCTGAGCTCGGCTACGCACTCGTGCAGGTCTTTGGCGCGGGGCTTGGAGCCCTGTACCGATTTCTGGTTGAACTTGTGGCCGGAGTTGAGCGCGGACTTCAGGAACACGTTGACGCCGTCGTTCTGGAAACCCTTGATCACCATCAGATCCCGGGCCTTACCGCGGCGGTAGGTGGCGGTCAGGCAACAGATGACGGCGAGCGCGGCCAACGACGACGCAGCGGCCACCGCGTGATAGAAGAAGGCCTGTTCGTAGTACGGTGGTACGGCGGCGGCAGAGGCGTCAGCTTCGGCGGCATCGGTGCCGGGTACGACGGCCGAGCCGTTGGCGTCGCGCCGCTCCGCGCAGAACTTGTTGAACACCAGGCGCACGTCGCCGGTGACGCCGTTCAGCAGCCAGTCGGGCGACGTCTCGATGGACAGCCGGACGACCGCGTGCCCAGACGGCTTGTCCGCGGCGCACGGCAACGACACGGAGAACGCAGCGGCCGCGGCCGGAACCTGGCCGTCGCGAGGCCCGTTCAGCTTGGCGGCCACCGTGCGCCGGTCCGCGTCCACTGACATGCGGTACAGCAGCGCGTCCGCGGAGCTCCACGTCAGGTTGACCGTGTCGACCAGCGACGGCACCTGGACCGCGTACCGAGCGGCGTTCGCGTTCAACCGGCCCGCGCGCACGTAGTACAGCCGCGCGGCCAGGCCCATCAGCGTCTCGACGTCGCCCGAGTCCAGGTACAGATCGTAGTGGTGCGCGCGCAGAACGGTGGCCAGCACTAGCAGCGGCAGCAGCAGCCGAGCGGACGACGGGTGACCGCTTCCCATGTTCGAAGGGCTCACGGTGCCGGGCGGTTCACCCCGGACGGACGGCGGAGCATGGTGAGACGGGACCGAGTGTGCAGCAGACGGATGGCCGGCGCGCACAGACCGACGGACGAACGTAACCGTTGTGCGACCGGTATTGGATATTGTATCGTTTCGGTTGCCGTTAGCGTCCGCTTAGATAATACGGATCCCCGAGGATTTCCTTCTTCTGTGTAAACAAAAACAAACTATTGTCGACGGCACTTTGATAATAGCGTCCGGCGCAGTTGCACCACGTTCCGCGCGACGACGACGCCGTTAAATTAAAATAATAAACGATTAAAATCTAACTTCACCGATTAAAAACTAACTAAACAGCGTTTTATTTTATAGAAGAAAAAACGTCTTGGTATACATTTTTCGAAGAGTTACTATTGGTATGAAATCAATTATAAATTTATTCATTTTTTGCTGGAAAACGAAACAGGAATTAGGATTTTATTTTTGGAGATTGGCATTAGCTTTTTTTTTTTTGTTCCTATCAAGTTCGCTGTTATCAATTTTTATCGATATATTGTTGATGAATCGTCGCACGCACTGGCCCATACATTGTTCGGTTTCAATTTTTCTGCTTTTCGTCTCGTTAAATTTCGATTTCAAATTAAAAACCGTGAGTACAACAATATTTATTTGTCCGTTTCAGTCAACGGATCGATAGATTTATTTCCGATAAAATATGATATTGTATTTTGATATAAATACATACCGTATAAATGTTTTATTAGCGACCTCAATTCGCTCTTCGTATTTGGCTTATTACAATTTGGAATAACCTATCAACAGTGCTGTAAAGAATGCTTTTAAAAAGTAGTTGAGTTAATACTCAAACACATATTTTTTCAAATATTTAAGATACTACTCAAATACTTTAAAAAAGTATTTGGAATACTTTTCAAATACTTTTGTTTTTTAAAATAGATTTCTAATTAATGTAATATAGATACATAGTAGGTTTATAATATTTTAATTTTATTTATTTATTAAATAAATGTTTATTACATTTTAAAAACATAATGTTTTCAAAATTATCAGTCATAGAGCTTCTCTTTTTAGTCATGGTTGCTCCACCTACACTAAATACGGCTAACACAAAAATACAGAATATTCAATAAAACTATTATTCGATTATTATTGTAGTTTCTTTTTTTTTTTTAATTTATTTTGCCTTAGTTGATAAACATTTCAGTAAAATTATTGTAGTTGGCAATAAATACTTTGAACAAAAATAAAATATTCAAATTAAAAAACAAAGTATTCATAACAAATAAGTGTTTAATAGAATGAAAAGTATTTAAAATATCGTTGAAAATACTTCGTCCTGAAAATATTCAAAAAGTTATTCAATAACTACTGCACTGCCTATCAACGTTTTAAAACAATAAGATCCATCCTTTATAACTTGCAAAAAATTAAGTTCAACACTAAAAACTGACTTCAGCTAAATATATAAAATCAAATAATTCAAATTAAAATATAACATAAGCCCACTGTTATATTTTTTTAATTTTTTTAAGTACATATTTGTTTGTGAAAATTTTGTATATATTGTAACTTAATGTTTAATTCAGATGCGATGGAAGTATTTAAATCGTACTATAAGAAAGTATTCAAAAAACGTCAATGGATTTCATGTTGGCATTGTAGGTTCTGGTCCTGCAGGATTTTACTGCGCACAGCAGTTGCTAAAAGTAATAAAATCAGTTTTTAATCAATATTTAAAGGACTTATAAACTTAAATTTAAATTTCAGACAATTCCTGGATGTCAGGTTGATGTCTTTGAAAAGTTACCAGTTCCATTTGGTCTAGTACGTTATGGTGTAGCCCCAGATCATCCAGAAGTAAAAAATGTTATAAACACCTTTACTAAAACAGCATCCAATGACCATTTTCGCTTCATAGGCAATGTTACACTTGGCCGTGATATCACATTGGCCCAATTAAAACAATCCTACAATGCAGTAGTATTAGTATGCTAGATTATTTGTGTTTATGCTACCGTATAACTGTATATTTTTTAACAAATGTTATTCCCAGGCCTATGGAGCTGAAGAGGATAGGAAGTTAAACATCCCCGGTGAAGATCTATCCAATTTTGTATCAGCTACAAAGTTTATCGGATGGTACAATGGTTTGCCTACCGATAAGAACATTGAGGTAGATTTGAACGCTAACCATGCAGTTATTGTAGGACAGGGAAATGTTGCCTTGGATGTTGCTAGAATATTGTTATCACCAGTTGATAAACTCAGAGTTGGTACAGTTGATGACTTTTTGTACAACTTTAGATGATTGAATTTTTTATTTTCAGAAAACTGACATGACTGAGTATAGTTTGGACACCTTGTCTAAAAGTAAAGTGAAAAAAGTCACTCTCGTGGGTCGTCGTGGTCCATTGCAAGTAGCATTCACCATCAAAGAGTTAAGAGAAATGTTGAAATTACCTGAAGTAAGCACCAAATTTTATAAGGATCAAATGAATGATATCGAAAAAATAATAAGTGGTAATTTTATATCCAAAATATTTTAAAAGTATTGCCACTATTATCATTGTGAATATTGTGTAAATTACAGATTTACCAAGACCTAAAAAACGATTAATACAACTCATGTATGATGCATCCCAAAAGACTGAAGTTCGAGACAAATATTTTGACATCTTATTTCTAAGAACCCCTATTTCTATATTAGGTACAAGCAAAGTTGAAGGAATTGAACTGGCTGTAAACCATTTAGAAGGTACAAACAATTTATTGTAATAATTTTTTTCAATTTCAACTTTTTTCTTTTTCTATATATACAACACAGGAGACAAAGCAGTGATTACTGATGAAAAATACTCATTGAATTGTGAATTAGCTTTTCGTAGTATAGGTTATCGAAGTGTCCAAGTAGATCCTGATATAATTTTTGATAAACACACTTCAACAGTACCTCAAAATCCAGGTAAAGCTACAGATTTGATTTTGTAACTAATTATATTTAAAAAAATGTTTTATACTTTTAAAGGTATTTATAGTGTTGGTTGGTTGTCATCTGGACCTGTAGGAGTGATACTGTCCACTATGAGTCATGCTTATCAGGTAGCTTCTATGATCAACAAACATTTTGATGAAGGCTTATTAAAAGATCAAAAGCCTGGTTATGATTACATTTCAAAATTATTAAAAACTAAAGGTATTTATTAGTTTCAAATTGAAAGATAAAAAAAAATCACAAAATATATATTTTATATTTGATTACTGTTAGCTGGAATGGATGGAACAAAATTAACCAAGTAGAAGTCGAAAGAGGAATGAAAATTGGTAAACCTAGAGAAAAAATAGTTGATATTGATGAAATGCTACAAATTGGAGGAGAATTATAAAATAATATGGTGTCATTATAACACATCTGTTAGACTTAAGGATGATAAATAAGAAACGGATTGAATATTTTTATTTTAGACAAATATGTCGATTATTGAATGTTGAATGAATTAAAATTTAATTTAAAGGTTCTAGTAGGTAAGAATTTTTGTAATTTTGGATATTGAAAATGAATTTAAAATTATTTATTTATTTTCAGTTGCGATCAATCAACCGCCCTATATTTTTAATTGTTTTACAAATAAATTTGTATTCTTCAAATTTTTTCCTATTAGTATTCTGAGAATAATTCAATATGTAAGTGGGTTGATCGTTAGACTAAAAAATAACTATTTTTTGCCACAGATTTGCTTTCCCATTAAACAGTAAATATATAAACTGACTATTGCTTAAATATAAAAGTTTACCTTTTACATACATTATAATAGTTTTATAATTTTATTATATTGTTATATTATTGATATAGTTAAAATAATTGTTTTAAGCTTTGAATATTTACAGTTATGTTTTATTATAATATTAGTGATTCTATTTTTATATAATTTTTTTAATTCTTAACAATAAATAAAATTATTTTTATTTTTATTTAGTTATCATTTCTTATATGTCTATGGATGAAAATACTCTCAAAATGGCATTGTCTTATTAAAAAATTGATAACAGAAATGTGGTTTTTAAAAGGTTATGTTTGGATATTATTAATTTTTAAATAATAAGCCACCAGCTTAAAAGAAGCAAATGATTCCAATTCCTAACTATAAAAGCCAATTAAATGCATTTTTGTTTTACAAAATTAGTTAATATTTGCTACATCAATTTTACATTAAAAATTGATTTTGAGAAAATTATCATAAAAAATTATTTTAACAACATTTTTGTTCTAAAAGTTTATTCTGAAAACATTTTACAAATGTTCCAAGTAAAGCCCCCACAAAGGAGGGATTTGGTGTGGTGCATACTATTTGTGTCCGAGATTATTATCAGTAGGTAATTTGCATCCCTTCAAAAAAGGTCACAACCTATTTGCGTCCAAGAGTACAGCACAAATAAGTCATAAACATAGCACAAAATAAGTATTACAAGTAATTAATCAAATTTAAATAAATAAAATTATACAAGCTATTTACAGATTATGTAGAAACATATTAATTATTATTATTAAAAACATCAAATTGTCAACTGTCAAAAAAATAGAAAATTAGATAAATTATAAACTATTAATTATTTATTTAAAATAAATATAAATAAAAATAAATTTTTAAAATATGCCAGTTATGTACTTAAGATTAAATGTCCTCCTCATAACTATTTGCCAGTACTTGAGTATCTCAAACTTGATTCGCTAGCGAATCTTAGGCGTGCTGCTAACCTTACATTTTTATCCAAATTATTAAATGGGCAAATTGACTCCCCACACCTTCTCTCTCTAATTCCCTTAAATGTCCCTCCACGCTTCACCCGTCAACACACCTCTTTTAATTTACCTACCTCATCCACATATTATGGTTTAAATGAACCACTTCAATGCTGTATGTCTATTGTCAATTCAGACCCCTTCTTTTCTATTTCATGACCTAATCAAGTAATTTTGTATCACTATTTATTCTATGAATGAATTATATTATAGTTATTCCAAATCTGAAGTAGAAAAAGTACTTTTAATAAATTAAAAAATCAACATAAGACTTGGCAGAGGGCTTCAACATGACTTAATTCCCTTGCAATTTTACACTTTTATCAATTAAAAATTAACTCTAATGCTTTTATACATCATTTTAAAAAAAAAAATCAATATAAAATTTAAGTTTGGTATTAAGTGATACAGTATTAAAAGAAAAACGTATACCTACTGTATGTATATAGTTATTTGTAATGTATAAAAATATTTTTGAATTTGAATAATTGTATTTCATTATTCATTAATACTTTTTAATTAAACTACAGTAAATTAGTATACAAGTGTTAGGTTAACTAAAATAACTGATATCTTATAGAAATATATAAAACAGCAAAAGAACATTTTTAACCAATATTTTAGGTGTTTTTTGTAAAAATAAAAAAAATGTGTTAGAATTTATATAAAAATTAATAATAATAATATTCAATGAAGGCCTGGATTTATTCACAGTACCATCATTGGAAAATACATGTAGGGGCCTGGTTAGAAGCTAAAAATATTGCTAATAAACATCGAATATTTGTAATATAATACAATTACTGTCAACCAGTGGTGTAATTAGGAATTTGGTTTGGGTGGGGATTATAAGTTTTAGTAAAATCTGTACACCTCATACAGTACCCCCCCCCCACCCCACCAGAACAAATTTTTTAATAATTTAAATTTTAATGATAATAATAATAATAATAATAATCGTAATAATAATAAAAATGATAATAATCATATTATCCCCATATAATAAATAAACAAAGTTTTCGGGGGGATCCATCCCCCTAACCCCTCCCCTAATTACGCCCAAGTTGTCAACCGTTTTCGATCATCTGGTTCGAATCAGACATACAACGCTTCTCGTTGAAAATACTATATTTTTTTACACTTTCCGTATAACAACAATCAGAAATACCTGTATTATCAAGATAAAAAACCGTGTTAATTCAAAGTCCATAGCTTGCACATAAATCTGTTACGAACAATTAAAATTATAACACGTATACAACAAACAATTGAAAATGAACCTTATTCAACAAAATCTGCATATGAAGTGTTAAGGCTTGTTAGCACGTGATATAAGCGTACGATTTCACCTCAAAGGAGGATCTATTAATAAACTATGGTTATGAAAAGCGGTGTTGCGATTAATTACTATTGAAATGAATAAAAATCTGTAATTGTTTTACTTTCCAACCATTATCGCATATGGTTTCACCAATATTATTTAAATGGAAATATATTAACTAAAATTACATCTGATAAATATACTTCAACCTTAATACTGTACGAACACTTGAATGATAATTAATGGGTCATTATTTTTTTTCTATGTCGTTGCTTTTCATATTCTTTAATATCCGATTAAAATTTGATTTTGCCTCTGTTTTGACCATTATATTCTCATAATCACCAAGTCAAGCACTTGATTCAGGTGGCATACGAGCGATTGCCCTCCCCCTAAGACGGAGTATGTAGTAACCACGAATTAAGATATATGATATATCTTTTTATTGCTTATTATTTAAGCCCCAATAATTTTAAAGAAGTTTCATCGTCCCCTCCCTTAAAAAAAAAAAATAATAATAATAAGCACATAATTACGTGCTTATTTGAAGTAGATACCTATACATTGAAAATCGCCTTTTCTGTAATACGCATACTAATTCCTGTAGATCGCGCGTGACTTGTCTTGAGTATCTTAAATTATTAAAAGTATTGCACTTTTTGATGATATATTAAAAAAAAATAAAAAAAAAATTAGTACAATTGATGAATTTATAACGACTTTTCATCGGTATCTATAAAAACCTATTAGTTCAGAGTTACTGATAAATTTTAATTTTAATCAATTATTTTTAAATGTCATGTAGTATATTACTAATTTTTCTTAAAATAAAATATTGCAAATCAGAATTGATTATATAATAATTATATCGTTTCGTTTCGTGTAACATAATGTACTTTAAACCTTAAAAATAACCAATTGCCAAAAGCTTTTTTATTTAATGTATACATATTTATTGTACTTATTATTATTGTAAATTTACTCTGCAGAACATGTGATGTACATCGAATGCGAGTAAGTTGAAAATTGCGAAATATCCATTAGAAATTAATACATTTGCCGAATATTAATCTTAAAATATCGAAATAACAGTGAAATATTAATTTTTAATGCTTATATTAAAGCTTGATCATTATTGTATCTCGAGTGAAACAAGAAATATGCTATGTTTATTTTACTACGGTACATAATAATTAAATGTATAATATCTATGATATCTATGTACAACGGTGAACAGACAATGATTTTAAATATATCGTTTTAAATATAAGAATTATAAACTAATAAACTACTTAATCATGAGCTGATAAAATACTTAACCGGATAAACAATAAACCCGACCCTCAACGCAATTCACATATACAATACCTACTAGAGAGGTTTGCGACTTATCGGATATCTAGACTTCTCTACTGCTAAAAAAAATAGTTTGTAATTATTATAAAAAAATAGTAATATAAAAAAAAAATTATAGCAATTAAATTCAAATAGATCCTTGTTTGATATTATATTGGTGTATCAATCAGGGGCGTATTTAAGAGGGAGGTGGGAGCTAAGTGGGCTGCAGCCACCTTTGAAATTTTAAGAACATTTAAAAATATTTTCATAGTCCATTAAAGTCGATGCAAAAGTCTGAAATTTCATTTTATTGATTTTAAACTCTTAATTTTATTTTATTAGTTTATCTTCCGCTCAAAAGATAACTCTTTTACTTTTAATCGTATTTAGAATGTGATACGTTTTTTCTACTTAGATAATTTCTACTATATTACATCTTTCTGTGTAGAAATTAAATATTATTGTGATGTTAAAATCACTATTTTATTTAAAAAATATTATTTAGTGATTTGTGATCTTATGGTTTTTTTTCCCTTCACAGGGGTTTTCTCTTTTTTCACTTTTTATTATAATATGCTATTTACTTCTATTACTGACTTTTCTCTTTTTTTTTATATAAAATCAATAATTTTCACTTCCAAACGTGGAGTTTTTTTTATATTTTCATAACTTCTACTACCCTAAATTTTTTGTGTAGCAAATATTAACGTTAATTTTTTTGTGTAGTTAAAAAAATAAAACTATTGTTTTACTAATAATTTAATATAATTGTTATTTTGTTACGATGTTTGACTTGTATTGTATTTTGTGTTAACATTCTTTTCCTCATTTTAATTTCTGTAAAACTTTATAATAATTGTACGCCAAAGTCATTTTATTCAATGAAATAGTTTTATAAAAAAACATAAAAATTCCTTGGTCCAGTGAGAATCACCGGTCAAGTGATACATAGATATGGATGAATGGTATTTTTGCATTAGCATTGTAAAATTGAAAGCTTTGATTTAATAAAAAATAATAACTGAAGCAATCTTATTTATTAAAATTCTATACACAAACACAACAAAATAAATAATATGTTATCAAAATACTAGACGGTGTTGAGTGAGTATATCAGTTGAAGTTTTTTGCAATTTTTTCTTAGTTTTTCTCAATTATTCAGAAAACTATAGAAAAATTCATAGTATGATCTCCTATAGGTACCAACAAGACAAGAACGGATTGTGGAATCCTTAAGTGTGGCCCAAGAATTTTTTTTAAAGCCGTTTGGCAACCATAGCATTATTTCAACATTTATGCTATAATACTACACATTTTTTGGTTAAATATTTAAAATATGAACTATAACACTTAATATAAATACATGGCAAAATTTATTTAATGACTTATTTATTAAGGCATTAAAAATGTATGCTTAATATTCATTTATTTTTGGTTCTTTAAGCTAAACGGCCGATTACAGTTTGGCACGGTATACTGCATACATTTTTTTCTGTAGCAATTAAGGCAAAAACTTTTTGATTGTCTTTTGTCATCTTATTCACGATTTTTACCAAGTACCTAAAAGAAAAATTTGAATTGTTGCATTCATTTTCCTTGTTTCCAAATGCAATTAACTCATATATTATGTTTATTTTTTTTGGGGGGGGGGGGTTAACAAATATAATCGTTATCTTTTTTGTTCGTTGCACAGATAAATAAAATAAATAAATGCTATAAATAGATATTATTTTATACAACTTTTTTACCAATTTACAGTTTACTTTTACATTACAGTAAATTAATAGCTATTGGAATATAAAAACAGCATAGTTAACAAAACTTTTTAAATACCTATCAATATAATTATTTAATTATCATAATATTTGTATAGTTGTAGATTATAAGTTCAAAGCGTAATAATGAAACTACGAATATATTACACGTCATCAATAATAAAACAATTTTCTTTTTTTTTTAACCCTAGGGAGGGAGTTTGATGTAATTGAATATATTTGAGAAACTCAATTTCAGAGAATCGGCTCGTTGGTCTAGCATTATTAAATATTCATAGAAGTAACTGATATGGTTTTAGACAAGTTTGCTAATAGTGGACAAGCCAAACGTTTAAAACTCATTATTTAGTACTTAATAGCTAATACATTGTATAGATTATGATACATTTAAATCATAAAATTTTATTTTTTTGTTTTACTGTATGACTATATTAATACATTTAGATCAGCCCCTCCCGAAATAAAATTTTGGATACACGCCTGATAGAAATTATTGAGTTTCGACAACATTTTCAATAACCAAGTTACTGATCTGCTTGCTTATACTGACAGATATAATGAAAATAAGAAAATATATGATAAATTTTAAGATTTTGCAAACGATAAATGAAAATAATTAACTAATAATTCATGTAAATGCAAAGTATAAAAGAAATCCAGTTTATTACTATTAAAAAGCATATTGGATAAATTATTGTTTTACTTTGAAACTGATTGTAACTGCAATTACGATAATGATTTAAGAATTTACTGTAAAATATATCAACATAGTTAATTATTCGAAGGAAGTATGGTTTCAACAATTTTCAAGGCTCCCTATGCTTTGACGCTCTGGGCATTGTCCCACTTTGCCCTAAGATAGCTACGCCATTGCGATTAAGTATGACTAGGTTAGTTATTTAGGTTAGTTATTTACCTTTAGATTAAGTTATTCTTGAAAACCTTAGCAACAATTTTAGAGATAGGTTGAATGGTCAAAATATTAACTATTGGTAAATTGTTGGTTAACTTTTGAAACCAATGGCAGGCCTATTTCATTCAAAAACTATTTATCTAAAAAACAAATTACTAATCACTAATTAGGTACCTATTTGAGATATTTTTAGATATGTTTAATTAATATTTTATAAGATTTTCGATATTTTATATTTAAAATAAATCAATAGGATGTACCTTTCTAACGGATTATGGTTTTATTTTTTTGAAATCATTTTCACCTATTTAATGATATTTCCTATCGATAGATAGAGGTCTACCTGCGACAATGGAAAACTTCAAATAATAACATAAAGAAAAAGGAAAAATTAATTCGTTTTAGAACTACTCGGCTTTTTATAGTCAAGGATACCTAATGTATGAAATATTCACAATAATTATTTTTGAAAATATGTTTAAAAATAAAACGAGTGATGACTACAAATTCGCAAAAAATATAATGAGATCAGAATTTGTGTGCTCTGAGTATAATAATTATAAATTATTTATAGTAGTCATCAAATATTAAAAATTGTATAAAACTCAAGAAAATATCGGAGTACTATAATAGTATGGTTTGTCTTATCATGTAATTCCGCGTGACTCTGTTCGCATTCGAAGAAATTATGATAATTATTTGCGGCACATGTCGTAGATACCTATTAAGTATTGGCTTTTAATTCTTATAATATTGGCAAAATATAACAATTATTAATTTTCGAAGTTCAAACGATAACCGACAGGGGCGGATTGGCCTATCGGGAAATCGGGAATCTTTCCGATAGGCCGGTCCTCATTTGGGCCGCTCTATATTATTATATAATTACCAAAAAAAAGTTTTATTTTATAAAATAAATAAAAATCATTATATATATATTTAAAGATGCATTAAGATCAAACTTCAAGTTTGAACTAATTAATCATGTGACTTATCCAAAACTATTATAGCTATAATTATAGTAAGGTTATTGTAGGTTTTACTAATTTAAGGGTGAAACTAAACAAATTTTGAAATTGATGCAAAATAAAGTATATTTTGGGAGATTATTAGTTTGTGGACAGTGATCGCCGATCACAGAGAACTTTATCTGTTGTTATCACATAGATTTTTAAAAGACTCTGTAATCTAAAAAAATATTAATCTAATACATTATTAAAAAAAAAACACACAAATAATAATAGCTTTTCTGGGTAACGAAAATGTTTGTTTACCTATACATCGTACGTATAAAGTCTACAATCCACGTGACTCCCAAAATCACTTTTCATTTCAATCAAAAAATATACATACCTACACATTAAAATGCACATAAAATAATCGAATGGTTTTCGATGTAGTTTACGGATATTTTGAATTGGATCGTGTGTATATTGCAGTTGGGATTGTATCGATTAAATCAACTGATCAGTAGTTGTATTTTTTTCTACGGACCAACGACCTCGAATCACGACTTAGTCAAGTGGAGTTGTTGATATTATTTATATAATAAGTAATGCGTAAAAACGAATTTTATTTGAAAAAAAAAAAAAATAAAATTAAGTATAGATATCATTCCACCGGTGTTATAGGTTACACGTAATTATTCTATTTCTAGAACCGCGGCATGTTAAAATCACTGATACGAATGCAAATAATACAGGGATAATATAACAATACAGAAATGAGAATGTCGTGCTGGTAAAAGGGCACAGCATATAACGTATATCGTATGTATGTATACAAATAGGTACATATTAAGTGTTTGCGATTAATGATATAAGTACTCCTCGCTCGCGGTACGTGTGACCGTGGATTAAATATACTAGTTTAAAACTTTATTAGCTTATATTACATACAAATAATAACTTATTTGAAACATAAACCTATGCAAATACCTTCTACATAATTATAAAAAATAATGTCGATTCGTTCGATAATGAATGTAATCGAACGAACGTTTAGTACAGCCATGTCGCGCGTGTTTATGTTTAACGTTCGACGAAACAAGTGGTAATCTCGCGATTATTATACAAACCATTGACCGTAAAAAAAAAAAATCCTTTCAATACTAATAATAATTGTACGACGATTGCAGACGATCGATATCACATATATTTGTTCCATTGTATATAGTCGGTGATTTTTTGCATCGCTCTGTACACTAGCGCACGAGCACACACATACACACACACACGATCGCACATTTTTATCACTGTGAACTCTTGATATATTGTTCAATTTCACATTGTCGATAATAAAACAAATAGGTACTACATACAAATATCGTAATATACATATATAGTAGTGCTTTGGCATTTAACGTTTCATTTAGTTACCGTTTAGAAAACGCGTAAGACTTATTCGTACGCTTATACGTACAACACCAAACTGTTCATTCGAACTTTAAAAATTTTAATAATTTAACATAAGTTCGTTTTTTCTTTTTCTTTTTTTCTTCTTCTTGAATTATAATTATTTCCTCAACGTATTGTAATTGTAAATTATAATATTCGTTAAGTACTGCATTTATCTTAAATATAAATTAACGATACGAGATCAATTCGTCTTAACAAAAAAACTAGAAAAGAAAAAAAAGAAAAGCAGCATGAAAACGTTATGCGCAATGGAATCATTAGTCGAAGACGTCCCACAAGTTAACTTTGTTGTCTGTCCCGCTACGATTGAACACTGCGACCGAATTTTCGAATTATTTCAAGTAAGATTATCTTTTAATTATTATTTATTATTATCATTCATTTATAACAGATATTTTACAAATATAATATATACTACATATTAACAAATATAATATACATAAAACCAATGGTGGTTAAAATTGATGTCACCAGGTAATTCAATAGAAATATAACATTTGTATTCCAAACCCCGGATTAAGACCTTCGGGGACCCAGGGGCCAATACGGCATACCAATATGCTCGGGTTGTGGATCCCCCACCAATGAAGACAATTATTTAAAATCACAAAAACATATAATAAAATAAATAAAGGCTTTTTAATTAAGTACCTATAATGAAAACATTAAAAGCATATTATTATTGTACTATAAAACATAATATTCTATAATAGTATTTTTATTCTATGTACAAATTTTTTCTTTTTTTTTTTTTTATTTTTCATGTAGAAAATGCTTCTGACGTTTTATTTTAAGTGCAGTAATAAAAAATTATATCACTATACACACAAACCTGGTCATGTGTCTTCATTTACCGTGCCAAGGATAGTAAACATGGTAGGCGAGTGACGGGCCCCAACGTTAGCCTGTTAGCTTAAACAAAAAAATTAATAAATATATATTTGTAGGTACTACTATAAAAAGTACAGACTACCACTAAATGTAATCGTAAGCCGAGAAGATTATGGGTCCTTTACATACGTGCGCTCAGGGACGTGGTTACCCTTGCCCTCTTTTAATCCGGGCTTGTGCATTTCTATACGCTTAAAATAAAATCAACTATATCGTTATGTTGCTCACGTTTCGATAAGCTCACCAAATCTAACATTACTGTAATCTACAGGGTATTATGTTCAGAAAAAATATTGATTTCTATAATTACAACTGTATAAACAAATATTACCTAATATTATCAGACAGTTATTTCTGAAGTGGATGCATAACGCGGAAGTACGAACATTGGTAACGCCTATTGTTTTCCGTATTCCGTTGACTTCTAGGACAAAATTAAATTATAATAGGCGATACATCATATTTGAAAACGACAATTTTTCCATTCGTAAAAACAACATTTTATGATTTTAAGTCTAAGAACTCTTTAATTTTTATCCGAACACAATATGTCTAATCGGTTGTGCATGTCGCGAGGAATTCAGATTTCGAAACATAGATGTGGAAATAGGTCATTTCTTAATCGTACACACCTACACGGGCATGACCTACGAAATAAGTCGGACATTTTAACTTTGAAGTAACAATTATCAGCCGTATTATAATATACACAATATCATTATCATTTTAGTACCTAATTATAATCAGATAAAATAACCTATACTATACTTACTTCCTGATTATTACACAATATAATATTCTTTAATTAATAATTTGAAAATATTTAAAGCTTTCATAATCCATAAATAAAGGCTTTGAATATATTATATACTGTAGGAATCTATTTTCTAAAGCTTATGAATTAATTTTATTCGGCGATACTCCGATATTCGAATGGTATAAATTTTATAATCACAAACAATTTTAGTTTTACATTCCTAAAATACGTTAATTAACAATAAAATAATTTTGTAGAAAGTCAGAGCATTTAGAATAATTCTAAGTGAACTCGTACACCTACGCCTGATACCGTCAAAGTACTAACTAGTTTCTGATCAATGCATAGTATCATAATTTCTAATATTTAATTATAACAATTATAGCAGGTTTCAACTAGTTATTTGCCGCATTTTAAAATTAAACTACAAGCAAGGAATTGGGGTTCAAGCATAAACTTTTAATGTATCGTTGAACAGAGTCTTAATGCTCTCTTGGACGGTAAATAGCAACTATTCCGTTATCCTTCAAAAATCTGTTCCGATTTTTTTACACTAAAAATACAAGTATATCCGATCATCAATCGGTTGATAACTGTTAGGAAGATCACATCATAGCATTGATTATAAAATCAATGATCATAGTATAGTTTTTGAATTTCGTTATTTTCCAAAAATCCTATGATCGTTTTCTCACTACGCTACGCTACAGCAATTGAAACACAGCTCATATGCAGGCTAAAAATCATTTTGAAAAATATTAATTTGTTGTACAACATACACGCACAAATTATTAAATAGAACGGCCATATTCAAAGATTTAATGTAGAACATCAAATCAGTCAAACATATCGACTGTGTCGGACAACTATTTTGTAGCGGGTTCCCAATTATTAAAAATGACATATCTATATAAAAAAAAAAAAAATATGTAACTTATATACAATATTTTTCCGGTGTACTACGTTTTATAGATTGTGTCACATTCGAATGCAAATCATAACAATTTAATTCTCGTACTCACTTGTAAATGCTCGATAGATATGTCTGTACACTCGATATTCAAACATATAGTTTTAGGATAAGTATACTGTCCTCGTCTGCGATAGACGCATGCTTATTGTATAATGTTAATATTAAATATCTGATTGAAAAACGTACGAACGCTGCGAACATTCTGCGTACAACGAGGTTTCTAATTTTAAATAAATAATTTAAAATCGAATAGGCTCACATATTGGATTTAAATCGACATTTGACACGAGGCATCAACCTCGTGCGAAGAACAATTTACATTCACATTTATAGAACGAATCGCGAATTCCTGCAATATCTATCACTTAACACGTGTACGCCGTCCGACTGCTACACGTGATCGATAATAATCGACAATTGCCGTTGCCTAAATGAAAATAAAGGTGTATACAGAGCCAAGTACAATCAGTTCACATAATAATATAGTGACGTATGGAATCACGTTTTAACAGTTTGAACTCGGTGATTCGAATAAACAGTAAACTGCTGTATCACATAATATTACCATAATTGTATATTATTTTGATATGTTGACTAAATCGATTTAAAAAATATGCGATAATTCTGTTGAGCAAAATAGATGAGTGTGCAATATACTAAAATAATATCTACGACCTACATCATACCTATAATATTACGTATTCATGACGTAGTTTTTAACAGTGATGTTAGTATATTACAATTTGTTTGATAACATGACAATATTTACGTATAGATTGTATTATAATAATATATTATATTATAATCTTTCGACGATTATTAAAAAAAAGTAAATACCGATTTTAAGTGGTTTATTATTACATATTCAATGCTCTATTCCCTGAGAACCTCAATTATTATATACTTCTCTCCTAAGTTCTAAATCTTGAAAGTTAGAACACCGCCGAATAATTATAGACTTATGTTTCCTACACAAGCTTTTTGCTTATTGTAGTATTGACTGCCTGATTTTCTAAATCGATCATCTTTTCCATTTCAACTCGTAACATAAGATCTAATAACACATTTCACCTAGAACTACAGGTTAACAACTAGGCAAAACACAACCCATCAAACAGAATCGTACAAACTGTAAATAAATTGAAAATAAATATGTTGAACTCAATAAACTTGTTCTTTCAAATTGTACTGTAATTTTCTAATAGGTACGTAATTTATAATTTATGCTCATACATTTACGTACATACTTTACTTACTAATATTTAATTTTATTTAATATCTTGTACTCACGAATTATTGTAATATTAATCTTATCTGTAATAGGACCTCATCTGTTAAATATAAAATAAATAAATATGCGTAATACATAGGTAAACAACGTTCGATATAGACGAAGTGTGATAAATAATTTATTGTAAAAAATAATGCTATTATTGGAACCTCTAAACTTCCCAAACTGCAATATAATTATGAATATTTGAAATGGTGACAATACTCACTATTCTTTAGGTAGGAAAATACATAAACTTAATATATTAGGTACCTTTCTATCCAGCAAATCACGTTGAAATTGCTATATCCGTTTTCATATATTCTCGTCATTAAAATGTTTTTATGCATAAATGTAATTGACCTAGACTTTAGTGATTTAATAATAATTGTTTGTTTCAGGAATACTATTCTGAATATGGAATACCAAGTAATAGACAATTAAATGAAGAAAGTAAGTTCATTTCAACAATAACAATACTATAAATAATTATCATTATTCATAAACTATATTTTACGAATAAACTGATAAATCAGTAACAAGTAAATTTTTATAACGGGATTTTATAACTCATGCATAGTAATAACGCAAACTAAGTATTTACATACAGTAATTGTGTATCAATAGTAAGCTCGAGCTAATATTAGATAACTAGGTACTTGAAGTATTGGTGACATTTGAGACTGCTTAGCACTTCTAGATTTAATGAAAGCTACCCTACACTCTCGTCATTACAATTTCACATTTTATTTAAATGTTGTTCTACACAGCAGTTATTTACTCATTATTAATGGTTAAATATAATCTTTTTTCTATGAGTTAATGATAATACTCACCAACAGAGAATAACTGTTGACTATTTTTTTGATTTTTTAGTAAAAATCATGTTTTTTATTTATAATTGTTTCACTTGAACTGTGTTTATCCATTCTTCTAAATATCTAGAAGAAGGCAGGAAATATATACTCGGATAAAACACAAACATAGCACATATGCTAAACAACGAGTAGGTACTTATCATATTTAAGTTCTTAACTACGTCGTAAATTTACCGTAGTGCTTCATCTATTTTTTTATAATTTAACAATTTTATCTCAATTGCATTCAGTATTCTTTGTAAATAATCCTTTAATTCTTAATCTAGTAAAAACGAATGATTTCAGAAAAGTATTCACTTCTTAAATTCAATGATTATTTTTATTAATAACAATAATTTATTAATGTTCACTCGATAGACGAATGATTCATGCTTGTAGACGTAGAGGATATATTTTAAAGAAATAATTATTTAATAAAATCTTAGTCATATACTGACTTAATATTTTCAGTGCCATAAGGTAATACTGTTTTTTATTATTAGCTTTCAGAAAAGAAGGATTCGAATCTTCAAATCCAAGTTTTCAATGTTTTATAGCTAAAACTAGAAAAAAAGGTAATAAATTAATATTTAGCTAACAAAATCGAAATGATTTTCATAATAAGAGCAAAAAAAATAGCTCATTTTATAAAATTAAGTTAATTGATTTTTCTTTTTTATAGTGGACGTTATCATCGGGTTTGTTTTATGGTTCCGACCATTTGAGAACACAACTGGACAAAGAGTATTTCTGGAAGCATTATACGTATCCAAACCATACCGACAGAAGCATGTCGAACAAACTCTATTTGAACAAACAATTCAATTTTATTAAAATGCATTTTACGTCGTCCAGTCATGTTGATCGTGGATACTTCTTTCAATAACTAAATTATATAAACTAAATTGTTCCCTAAATATATTTTTAAAAACACAAAGAAATTGAAGTATACGATTGCAAACTGGGCAGACGAACGTTCCTATATAATATTTTTAATCAAATAATTTCACTTGAAATGTGGGTGGTATAAAAAATGGGTTGAACTATGACTTAACTGCATTTCTCATTATGTATGTCAACTGTCTTCAGACTACTTATATATTAAAACTTATCTCTACAAATATGGAATTATTGTGCATTAAAATTGTAATAAATTAAAACATTTTACCAATATTCAAATTACTTTTAAACATTTTTATTTCTATACTACATATATAACATTAATACTATGTATTTTTTTGCCCATTGTCACTTATTTTTTTGCCATTGTTTTAAAAATAATTTATTTTAATTAATATACAATGATATTTTTGGTCTTGATCCATTGAAGATATTGTCATTTTTAAATAAATTGTTTTATTTAAAATTAAATAAGTGATTAAATACTTTGGTAATCTACTTACCTATCAAACTATTAGAGTAATAAATAGTTCTATAATATATACATCATACTGTAACAATCACATGTTAAAATATTTTAATCATTTTAATGATTTAGTTTGAGAATAATAGATTTGATTAGACAGTAAATAACTTTAATTATTGTTTTTAATATTTTTTATAGTATTTATTGTTATGGGCTACCATGTATGGCCTAATCATGTATAAATAGAAACAGGTGCAACACAATATTACAATATTATATGTATTGCGTAAGACGGCATATTGTTATATTTAATAATAATTGGAAGGTGCGACGAAGATTAATCTATATTCCTAGAATACTATATTGGGAACGAGGTCTATCGCTGGATACTGCTAAACAAGTCCTATGACGTCAATTGATCAATATAAAAGAGGGATCGAAATGACCACAAGACAGATGAGTTCTAGTCACGGAAATGCAAGCTACTTCATGTCACTCTATGTTATAATTTGTTAAAACACTTTGAAAGTTGAAATAAACGTTTAAGTTGAAGTCTTATGTTTGATTAATTAAATTTAAATACATCATCGACTGCATTACATGAAATCGAGCCAGTGGCACGTAACATTATTGTATAAACGTACCTTATTGATATAATTGTATAATGTAAGCCTGTATAGTTTAAAATTGATAACTATATAACTCTATTATAAAGATTAAGATAAATATTGTTATTATTCAATATGTACTATGTTTAAGATTTTAAGTAGGTTCTGAGGAATTTATAATATTTATAGGTTGTTGATGATAAAAAGAAAAAACAATAATATAATTAAACAATATAAATGCTATTTATACTTATATGATTCACAAACACTTGAAACAATTTTAAATTTAAAACTTTGATTAAAAACTACAGAGTAAATAATACTTTATTTACCTATGCAAAATTTGGAAAATATCACACCGAGTATTTCTTCAGTTGATACATGTCCTGTGATTTTTCCAACATTTAATGTGGCATTATGCAAAAGCTGTGCTGCAATATCAATGTTTTCATCTAACTTGGATATTTTGAGAAATTTTTGAATATTTTCTAATGCTATTGTGAGACAATATCTATGTCTTGCTTGACTACAGCGAGGATGTTCAAAATTTGGATTTCCACATCTAATTAAAAACCAAAATTAAATGAAATGCAAAGAATAAAATAATAATATTACTAACAATTTCTGCAAATAGTTTTCAAATACTTCCATCATATCTGTAAGACCTTTTTCAGCTATACATGAACCAAAACATATGGTCCATTTAGAAGATTGAGATATTTTTTTGAATCTAAAAATTTGATCTTCAGGTACAACATCAATCTTATTCACATAAACCAAACAATTACTGCACTGCACTTTCATATTTTTTGCATATTGTGCTAGCCATAAGTCCATGTCATCTATACCAGTGAGATATAAAGCATCAATCACTAAGATAACCATGTCGGCTGCTTGAGCCTGATCTTTAGATTTTTTCATTCCCAATTCTTCAATCAAATCTATGGTTTTAGAGCGAATACCCGCAGTGTCAACTAAAAGTACTGCGTAACCAGACACATCCAGAGGCACTTGAATTAGATCTCTAGTTGTGCCTGGAAATTCTGTTACTATAGCAGCTTCTCTACTACCTAAATTAATTAAACTATGTTTTATTTAAAATAATATTAATAATCTGATTAATATACATAATGCATTTAAGAGGCTACTCTTCCCTGTATTTGGTGCACCAATTATTGCCACTTTAACTCCATCTCGTAAAATTTCACCAGACCTATTATCTGATAAGTGTATCTAAAAACATGACAAATTATAATGATGAATACTAGCTTATTTAACTAATAAAAATATACCTTTATTTCTCTGGCAAGTTTTTCTAGATTTTCTTTTACATTTTCTAGTACAAAGTCTTCAATATTATCGGTTTCGCTAAAATCTATATAGGCTTCGACATTAGCCAAATTCTAAATTGTAAAAACAACAATGCATTACAATATAGTTCTTCACATATGCATAAATAACATGCTTCTAAAAGAGACTGTCTCCATGAACTGTAAAGTTGTCTTAAAGAACCTTCTAACTGCATCAATGCTTGTTTTCTTTGTAGCTCAGTATCAGCTTCAATAAGATCAGCCAAACCTTCTACTTCAGTCAAATCCATTTTATTATTATAAAAGGAACGTTTAGTGAATTCTCCTATAATAAGAACAAAAATATTCTTTGTAAACAAAATAAATAATCCTATATTATATAATGTATGGAAATACTAAAGTAAAAAGTTTATTTAGATTTATAGTTTTCACTGCATTAGCACATTAATGATCATTTTAATTTAAATCCTACCAGCGTCAGCTGGTCGGAAATTAGATAATTTTGATAAACCATGGAGTACTGATGAAATAACCGCTCGTCCACCATGTATTTGAAATTCACAGCAATCTTCTCCAGTAAAACTTTTAGGTCCTAGGATGTGAAAATATTTTTTTTAAGATTCTAAAATAAATATTAAGGAAAAATGCATTTTTACCTGGGAACCATAATAATAATCCATTATCTAATTGTTCTTTTGTTGTTGGATCAATAATTTTATTTAAACAAGCTTTCCTCGGTTCGGGTAAATACTTTAAACAAGTCATATTCAAAATAGCATTAGAGGCATTTGGACCAGAAATTCTTATGACAGCTACACCACATTTTCCAAGACCTAAAATTGATAACACGTTTTTGTAAATAAATATATAAATGCATTAATTAAATACTTAATCAATGATAATTGTTATGATCATAATTCATACTAAATTAAAATGCTTCAATATTGTTAACATCATATTTTAGAAATATTATTTTTATAAAACGATGACAGACAAAATTATAGTATGTTGTAATTGAATATTATATCACTATTCGAGCTTACCCTATTTTAAAATAATTATTATTAATATTTTTTACATCAATATTATTATTTACTTTTTAATATCTTTAAATATTCTTAGAAAATCAAACAAAACGAATTGTGTTATATTATAATATATGATCATTTTTTCTAATTAAATTTAAAAATGTTATGAAGAGTTTATGAAAAAAAATAAAATAGTGTGTGCCAATATAAATTAAAATAATTATAACTGGGCCTCTGCTAGATTTCGGCACATTTTTTAATACAATTTAACAGAACTATCTTGGTCAGTAGCGTATATAGGGGAAGAGGTTAGTGGGCTACAGTTCTCCCCCGGAAATGTTTTAAAAAACTTAAAAATTATTTTAAATGTATGTTTTATTTTAATGATGCTTTATGCCAATTTAGAATTTGCGTCCAACGTCAAATCATTTTGGAACATTCTGTAAATGAATTGTAGATAAGTACCTACTGTGTCTTGTTAGTTATTTTTAGATAGCAGTGATAATTTAACTCTGTCCATAGTAGCCCCTTCCGAAAATATTTTCTACATACGCCACTGATCTTGTTGTTTGGTAAGCAATAACGTTCGTTCGGTTTGAACGTACAAGATAACGACATTCAACACTATCTCACGTTAAACCGGGTTTCGTTGTTATCACGTCGAAAACAATACGCATTATCATCTACAAGAACATTAATATACGAATGGTTGACGGAAAATAGCTGAACGATCGTTCGTGATCGAAAGATGAACTTGTACGAAAACCGCCGTCCAGACCCGTGGTCGGATGCCAATTCCATAATTATCATTATTGTCCAACGTTTTATCGAATTTTACCGGAGGACAGAGCGTAAATGGTCGACTTGAATCTCGTCCGGTGCTGGTAAACGGCAATGGCAATTCTTCTCAACCGGTACCGAGTCGTGTTCATAGCGAACGATCGTGAAGCCAACTATCATATAACACAACTGCAGCGCGATAGGTACTCCGATTCGGTTTCATCAGCTTTGGCTAGCGAACGGTTGAAAATTTCGATTTTTACGAAAAAGCGTAACATTTACAATATTTACCATAACCTCAAAAATATATTATAACGTTCTCGGCTGGTAATGCGGTCTAATGATTGTGCGGCCGGCTACATATCATTGTAGGCTCCAAAGTGCTGTACAGACTGCATCTTTAAATTGCATAGTTATTCAACAAATGAGAAAATTCAGCAATACGAGGATAAGAATCCTTATAATATAATTCTAAATGGTATAGGACAAATAACTTTAAAATTCCAATGTGTATTATACGCTAAATAAACAGTTCTGGTTTCTTCACACACCACTAGGTATCGATAACTCTAATAAACATTTGTGTGTACCATTCAATATAAAGTAAATTATAAAACAAACCCATGTCTGATGTTATACCAAGATTAACACAAAACATTATGGAATTATATAAAAACACGGAATAATGACCAAGAGAATTTAAAAAATTTAACTCGTCATTCTAAATCTTTAGAAGATATTAAACAAATTAGAGCTGTGGATCAATATATAAAATTATGTAAACAATAATAATATGTAGGTGCTTCATTATTCCTCTAATGATTGTTGCAACTATTCTCATAACTTGATTTCCGTATTTTGTTACTGTCAATATATATATAGGTACCTACCAAGAAAATATTCTTTTATGTATTATTAATCGAGGATTTAATGTTATAATCGAAAGTAAAATTTAAATGTTACTTAATTATAAGCATATTAATTCAAATTTTGTGAATTAAAAATGCAGTTCATAGCATATGAAGTAGATAATTAGACAAAATTTAAGTTAGTTAACAAACGCATGTGGCGATATGGTATAAGCAACATACACCCATCATTTTTAGGATTTTGCTAAATAAAAGCAGTGCCAAGTTAAGCTATGTAGCCACTCCGGGGCAAATTAAAATAGGCTACTCTTAAGAAAATTACAATTCAAAATAAAAAATAATATATGTAATTGAAATAATATGTATTATAGTTATACAATCATACAAGAAAAATTATTCAGATGAGTAATAAATACATCCATAACTATGATTATATTAAATTTATGAGAAAATAATATATAATTGTAAAGTTTGACTTGAATATTCAATGCAAAAATTTGTTTTTGATAATATCAGAACGTCAATTAAACTAATTACAAAATATAAAATCAATACTCATAAGTGATACTAGGAAACCAAGGAAGAATACTTTTAAATGTTAATTTAAATGTAAATGTAAATGTTCACATTTCCACCCCAGCAGTAAAACTGCCAATGTTCTAATTTGTTAACTGAACTTTTTAAGGTGCAACAGTTAATTAATTACAACTACAAATAAAATAATAGTAAAAAAATTAACTATGATTCTTATATTTTCAATAATGAATTCTTAAATTCAAGGTTATTTTATAAATTTAAAATATTCATAGTATCTAATATATATTTTATGTATTCAATATATGAACAAAAAAAAAAAAATTATATTCATTTTAAGTTAAACAAGAATAGATATCTTATTTATTAATCTATGCCTTAATGAGTAATTTATGATGTTGCACATTTATATTAGTAACCAATATACTATGTTGGTAATGTTGAATTAAATTAGTAAAAATATCACTCAAAATGAATACAAGTTAATATCGTAAAGATACTTTAAATTGATTATTAATAACATAATGTTACATAACTAATTTTTAGAAACTAAGGAATATATAATAAACAATACTGAGTATGTAAACTAAATACTACAAGTTGGTATCAAATAATATAATTCAATAAAAAAAATTCATACTTTCGAAAATTGCATAAAATGGATAATAATAATCCTAATACTCTAGTAAAATATATAATTATAAAATAATTGATTCATAAAAAATAATAATGTGACAAAATAAATTTCAGTTATTACATAAATTAAAAAAAAATATATATACAAAACATAATTATTAAAAAAAACTTAGAAACAATAATTTTATGTACAATTTTTCAAATAGCCCATGGCACTTATTCAACACTCATAAATACCCAGTAACACACTTAGAAGTTTTACTTTCAATGGCAACAGTTCACTAGTCACCTTTTTACTCATAACAAAAATGTCATGTTTTCACTATACAATATAATTTTACCAATAATTTACCATCACAAAATAGATCATTGTAAGTACCACACAAGTAAAAAATGCAATAGAATACATAAAAAAAAAATATAATTTATCTTTAAGTCTAAATAAAATCAGTCAAACAATTTTGTTTACAATAATAATTAATATAACATTAATTATAAATGGCCACGTTTAAATTTAAAATACCAAAGTTTTAACTAATATAACTGATATACTATAAAATAGATATGTTAAGACTTAAAGTTGTAACAATATAGCATTATTCATAAATAATTATATTAATGTCTATTGATAAAAGTTATAAGATTCATGGAATAATTTTTTTTTTGATTCATATTTTTAAATAGGGTTTCAAAAATAAATGTTCTGATAAGATTATTATCATTTTAATATTTTAATGTAATTTTACATAATTTATTTCATGAAAATATAAATCAAATAAAAATTATTTTTAAAACAAATAATTTTCAGTTAGCTAAGAAAGAAAATTAATAACAAGGTGAAAAACAAGATAAACTATGAAGAAAGTACTAACAATAGGTAAAAAGTTAAATTATTAAAATCACAAAATAACTTCAAAGTTGAATGTGTGAATAATTTACCTAAAACTTCTAAATATACTTACATTTATGATTATTTCTTCATATTTTTGTAACAGCTCAATAAATGAAATTTGATATTTTTTTTATAACTAGTAATTCGTAATTATATTATTTTAAATATCAAAATAAAAATCTTTTCTTTGATTATTAGCTAAATTTAATTTTTGAGATTAATCCTCCATTATTATAAATTATTCCAAAGATTTTTAAGATGATAAAGTTCTACATGGATATAAGATGTTTTTTATTCATTTACATTACATTAATAGAGTTAATAATAACACAAGTATACCTACATTTATAAATTATCAATTGATCATAAAAAAAGTAGAAAAAATTTGTTATGCAATTTTTTGCTGTATACTGTTTTATAAACAGTAGGTTTTACAATAATGATTTTAAGATAATTGTATTGAAACAGGAGTCTGTGATATAAAAGAATTTTGTGTGCCATCGACAATTGGTTGATCATTTTCATTTGAGCTCGTTGGTGTGTATGCAAGAATGGAACCAGTTGGTATACTCAGTGGTACAAGATTGGTAGATTGAGATTGCTGTGGTAATGTAGTGACCATAATTGGACCACCATCTAAGGTTATTGGAAGTTTAACTCCACTGACAGTTATCATTGCTGTACTACCATTGTGTTCAATTGCAGTATTATCCACAGTGATTATTTGGTGTCTTTGAGAGTTCTGAAAAATAAATTGCATTTGTTATAATACATATTGGGTATTCATAAATTCTGAATAATGTACGAGTATGAATTTTTGTTTCTGTTTATCAATTTAAAAACATTTCTCATAATATACAACTTAAATTATTAAGTAATTATTATATATTTTATCATATTTTTTTTAAAGACAATTAATTAAATATATTGAAATACTCATAAGATATATGAACCACAAAACTATAAAATGAAAAATTTAGTTATAATGTGTACAAAATAGACAGTGACATCATTTGTTATACAAAAATATTGTTAAATAAAGGAAAATAAAAAATTATCTTACCTCTTGAAAGTATTCATTTTTTGGTTGTTGTACAGTTTCTTGTTCTTGAGGAAGTTTACTATCAATTTTATTATGCGTTGAAGCTAAATGATATTCAAGTTTATGTTTACGGTCATAACTCATACCACATAGCTGACATCTAGTGAAAAAAAATTAAGTAAAATAATTTTAAATTATTAAAAATTCTTTACATTATATTCTCTATATACTAACATGTGATTTCTATTTCTCCTAGGTCCACCTCCTGAATTATTGTCATGTATATGTACATGAGCATTCATATTATATTTTTCTGCAAAACGTTTACCACATATTGGACATGCATATGGACGCTCTCCAGTATGAACTCGTAAATGTCGCTTAAGATGAGATTGGGACAAAACAGCCAAACCACATTCAGGACATTTGACATGTTTTTCACCAGTATGAGTCATTGTATGTATATGGAAACTTTTTTGATGAATAAATCTCTTACCACACAAATCACATTGAAATCGTGTATATCCAGTATGAATTGGAATGTGTTTTTGGAGACCGACTTTTTGTGTAAAAGACTTATTACAGTACTCACAAGTAAAAGGATGTATACCATTGTGCATTCCAATATGGACATCTAAAGCTTTTTTCATTTTATATGCTTGGCCACAAATCTGCAAAGAATATGATTAAAAAAAAAAAAAAATTGATCGATTAAGTACAGATTAAATTACCTCGCAAACATAAGGTCGAATAGTACTGTGTGATAGAAAGTGAGACTTTAATTCTGTAACTGTCCTCCATTTTTTATCGCATAATGTACAACCATGTATTGCAGGTAAACAAGCACGTTCCCCGGAACGTGAACTACCTCTTTTTTTTCGTCCTTTTTTCATTTGTCTTTTGCCAGATCTTTCTGATCCAGATGAAGGCGTTACTGTTTCATCAACTGCACTCGAACTATCTTCAATAATATTTTCATCTTGATAGTTAAATTTATCTTCTTCTTTCCATTCAAAATCATCATCTTCATTAGCTTCTTGTACAACTTCTTCCAAATACAAATTATTGTCTATAGAAAAATCTGGTTTGACATCAATCACTACACGTTCAGAAGAATCATTCATATAATCAGCATTGATTTCAAGGTTTGAGTCTGTACCATTTTCAGAGATATCATTTTCAACTAAAAATTACAATTAAAAACAATATAGTATTTACTCTATAAATTGTTTAAGTTAACTAAACATTTTTCTTAAAAATTAGTCCTTTTGGTTAGTGAATAAATAATAATGGCAACAAAAGGATTCAAAATTTTATTTTAATTTCTTCAAAAATATTTGTGTAATAATTCCACCTAGTCCAGGACTAAATTAATAGTTAAACTACACTACACTAATATAGATATGGTTAAAAAAAAAGTGTGACACTATGACAAGATAATTTATTTGTTATCATGGTACTGACTGATTTAGGATATTATTAAGGAGTGAGAATTGCTTTTAACTCATAATCATAATGATCATAGATTATATAAATTTATATTATCATTCAATACTATTAATATACTTTAGAAAAAAAAAATAATTTTGCTAACATAAATATAATAAGTCTTAGAAAATGCTAAAAAAACAAATTTAAGAGGTAGGAAAAGTAAATTCTCTTTATTTCTAGTTACATATATAATCATACTCAATTTGTAATTGATCGAGTGGAAAAGATATATTATTTAAATCATCAAAAAATCTCTTAATGTAATTTTTTTTTTTTAATTTTAACATTGTTATTATTTTTAAATAAATTATTTCATTATATACCTGACAAAATGACTAGCAGTGTGTTCTTTCAACAAGTGAATATAAAACACAATATTTTTAAAACTATAATAACATTTAGTTAGAGTGTTACCAGTGGATAGCTTGTTCATCTAAGTCCCTATGACACTGCAACTAATTATTATAACACATGCTAATTATACTAAATTGTATAGATTTTAACATTCAAATACAATGTAAAAATAATATTTACGATTCACTAACTTTTAATTGAACAAGATGGTTCAACTTGGACATCCATCTGTTTATTCAAAGGTCTATGTTCTTTAGACAAATGATTGTTTAAAGATTGTTTAGTTGAATAGCTTCTATCACAAGATGAACAAGAGAAACGCTTTAAAGTTTGATGAATTATAGAATAATGATTTTTTAAATCTGAAGCACGTCGAAAAGATTCACTGCACTGATCACATTTGTAATTAACACTAACACTGCGCTTCCTTAATTCTAAAACATAATTATTTTAAATTAAAATAATTATTATTTAATTTTGCAAATTATATAATATATCCATACTAGTTTCACTCATTGGTTGTTCAGTGATAGCAGGTGATGGGTCATCCACAGTAATATCTTTAACAGTTTCTATAACTTCTTCGTTAACACTAACTTTTTTTTCTATTGAACAGTCAGAAGCTGGTTCTTGAAATTCTTTATCATTTATCATAGTTTCCTCAGTTTGAATATTATTAATGAGAGTTTCAACTATCTAGAAACATAATAAAATTAAATATTTAAAATAAATATTCAAATACATATTCAAAATAAAAATGTATTTATTTTTGGATAAAAGAGAGGATGTATGATAACACAAATAATAAGTTTTTATTATCAAAAATTAGTTATAATTGTATGTAAGAATTATGTTTAGAAAAAGAAAAAGGGCTTTAAAAGCCAAATAATAAATTCCATAATCTTCAATGTTTATCTTATAGATTTACCTCATTAAGTGCATTAGTTGACTTTTCCTCACTTTCATCTTCATTTTTTATGGATTTTTCATTTTTTTGATCATTAAATGGGAGTTCAATCATTTTTGATGGCGATAAAGTGTTAACTACATTTATAAATGTATCATCTTTATATTCAATACAAGTAGATGTAAAACGTTTAATAATGTCAGTCTGAAGCTTCTTGAAGCGTGTAGATATTTGTTCTAACTCATCAAAAAGAGTAAAACATCTAAAACAGTTTCAGTAAATGATTATTTATTTCACTCAAATTCATGTAGTATTTACAGATTATAGGTTAAGCTAATTAAAATGTTTTCAATAATTACAATTGAATACATAGTAAATATATTATAAATTTTAATGTTATAATTTCATAATATAATCAGCTATTACTTTCATTTTACATTAATTCAAAATATTTTAGAACAGAATATTCGTCAATCAAGCATTTGTTTCATAAATGTATATATATCACTTGATATTTTTTACAGTAATATAAATAATGTTTTGTTATCATAACTATGTCCAATTAAGTTGGTTCATTAAACAAATCAATAATCAATACAAAATGTGAACATATTTTAATTGCTTTATTTAAACCAATAACTCAAAGTATATTTTGGTATATTAATTTAAAAAAAAAATACATTTTTAAGTGAAAATTTTTTTCATTTGATTTAAATAATTTAATATTAATTATGTTAAATAAATTAAATCATTTTTTAAATAATTCAATGTACAAAAAAGTGGTTTAATCAAAAACTCTTTTCAGAAAATTTTATAATTTATGTATTAATACTGGAGTATTAGAGATGTTATGAGACTTCTTAAACACCTATACACAGTGGCGTATTTACGGGAGAAGGTCCAGGGGTACTGGACCTTCCCCAGAACCTCTCAAAAAATAAACTAAAATTCTTACATATTTGCAAAATTGGCTATGTTAAACATTCACAGGGAAGTTGAAATTACTGTTGATGAATAGAGGAATTGGCCAAAAAATCGAGACAACTGGAATTTATTTTATAACAATACTTTACAATATATAATGTTAAATACAATATATAGGTACATATATATATATATATAATATTACATAAAACTATACGATTATTACATTATATATTTAGTTCAACTTCCTCCAAAAGCTGCACAAGAACGTAATTATTACAATATAATATATAGTTTAAATTAATTATGTATAAACTGTGGACCCCCGCAGAAAAAATTGAAAATACGCCACTGCCTATACATCTATACTAATCAAAATAATTAAACAAGATCTTCAATATCAACTTTACACAGCAAGTAATTAGATAGAATAGGTATACAATTCTACAATATGACAAAAAGATCATAATACTTGCCTTCGGCACAATACTGAGCTTCTCATCTGGGAAGGGTTAAAAATTTTCTTCAGTATTTTTGACATGACATCCAATAATAATACTTCTCTTTGAGGCATAAATGTACAATAAATATTGTATGAGGAACGAGTAGTAACTTTGACATTGCATATAAAACATTTTGAACTTTGTTCTTCTCTTTCTTCTAGGGCCGATGCCATGTTAACAAATATTTATAATTTGTATATTTAGAAATATCTGAAATAAATAACAAGATACACAATAATTAATACAATTATTTTAAACTAATGTAAGTATGCCGAATGATCCAACATATGAATGTATGTTAACATCTGTATACATTTAAGGACTAATATTACAAATGTTATATAAAATATTATACTAATGTATATATATAAATATAAATCAATAAATCAATTTTATGATATTATCATACTCATAGGTTCACTAGAAATTCTAGTCTAGAATTTATTTTTCTTATAAAATATAAAATCATTGAAGTTGTAAATGTATTCTAAATAAGACTAGAATAAATAATGCAACTTTAATATAAATATTATCAATTATATACAATAGAAAAAAACCATAGTTTATTCCACCTATTAACGTTTAGCACCTGCCATTATTCCAAAATCTAATAAAAAAAACCATAAATACATATTCATAATGAACGTAAGTTTTATGGAGGTTGAAAAAAAAAGTATCATTGATACATTAAAATAATCGAAACATGAAATACAAATAAATGCAATACCTCTATTTCAAATTATCAAATGTAAAAACATTATTTCTGCTTTCAATTAATGATACATATCTCATCCATTTTTTTGAAATTCTATAAATGTATAGGGATTGATAGAATAATAAATTAAAATAATTAATCGCTTAATTTAAAAATATTATATCTGGCATTTACTGTTCACAAATTCGTAGTGTTTACAATCATTTCTACTCCTGATTATCAGTAAATATAACTGCAGTGTTATATAAAAGAAAAAAGAAGAGAACCAATGGGTTCAAGTAGAACAGAGAAACTGGTGGCAAAAAATATTGTATCATCACAGTACCTATACGACGTTAATGAAGTGTGCCGCGTACAAACGGTTTTCGACAGCAAAAACAATCATAAAAAAAGAACACCTACATCCATCATCATTATCGACGAAACATCGTCAACGTGATTATCTAAAAACTCGCGGAAAGAAAAACGAAATGCACAATAAAACATAGAAACTATCCAAATAAACACGATACGTACGGAGATACCGCTAAAAACAACGATAACCATCCGATATAAATTACAATATAGGTCTCGCGTCACTACGATAACGAGCAACAACAACGATGTCAATGTCAAAGGTTTTTGGAAAGAAATTCGTTTCGTCATTATACTAGAGATGCCGTCGTCGACCCCTGTTGCGAATCGGGTCGCAGATACTATTATTTTGTTATGAATGTATGAGCATTGTCGTCGCACGGAGGACGGGAGAAATAATCGGCAAGAATGGGAAAAATATCGAAAATCGACAATGATAAAATTGCGCCCGCCAGATGTGCCGGAAATTCGCGGGGACCGCCCGATGATGTTGCCGGATCCGGCAGCGACGGTGGGTCCCCAAAGGCCTAGCGTGTGGCGAACAAACGCACATTTTACGGGACCCTTGGCACGGAACGGTGGTGTTCGTAAAATGCACGTCGGCCGAATGCGACACCGCCATTTTGAAAACCAATGCCGCCGCCGACACGGTCGCCGCGAGAGGCCGGACGCCGTTTGTCATCGAGCAAACGAAACGACACGGACGTCATCGTCGACAGCGGAACCGGACGGGAGCCGCGCAAGAGCACCGCGACGATATGCACGTACGGACGACAGGCGGTGATGTGATGGCTACTCACCGGAAAAGTGTGTGCGCGGCTTGTGGGCCGAGATCTGCGAGTGGGTCCGTCCCGCGGCGTTGGAAATTTAAGCCCTTGGCGCTCGCAACAGTCACCACCGCTGCCGTCGTTCGGGTCTCGTACAGTTTAATTTTGAAGACGTCCGCGTTCATTTATTTAATGTTTTCGCCGTCGGATATTATTTTGTTTTGTTTTTTTTTTCCACGCGCGACCATTGAACCGTGGTGGTACACGGATTTCCGTAATCGTCCGTCGCGCGCACAACATCATATCGGTCGCGGGTCTTCTCGCCGCATCGTTTTAGATGATAACAGTATCTACCCGTTTAAATTATTTTTAAACAAATTTGTTTAATCTTTGACATTGTTTTCCAAGTCGTTAGCTTTTTTGGCACAGTCGACAAGATAATAATAATTATTCGTCGTTACTGACGTAATAATCCACCATTAACCGGGTAATAATAATAGTTAATTTGTCAGACATGCCAATATATCAATAATATTAACTATGTAACGTCGCTCGTTTTATCATCAACCGTTGTTAATTTTTCCTTATCCCTTATCCATTAGCTCTATAAATATTTCATCTCTGAGATCTAGATGTAGAGCCATTGCTATTTATTATGATAATCCGATCCAATTCACACTTATTTAAAATCTAGTTCATAAAAATTACATTTCATTTCAGGAAATTGCTCTTCGACTTATGCTGGATTCCATCTATGAAGAGTATCTTCTAATTTTATTTTAGAATATAAAAATGCAAATATTAATTAATGAGGATTAATTAAAAAAGATACATTTTGTACTTTTACAATTTTAATGTTAATAATTAGTAGTTCGGTACTTAAAAATTCCTCGACAACAAAATTAATATCATGTTTGTATTTTTGTGTAATTAATCCTGATATTTTAAATATGCATTGAAGGGTAAACATTTTTTCAATTATAGTTTAGATTTATTGCGCGTTTCCATTAATAAGATACTATAAATATTCATAAAAATTTTTTTTGTTAATTATGAGAATTCACTCCAATATAATATACATTAAACTACAGTAGAAACCGTTTATAATGACACCGTTTGTAATGACCTTAAATTGCAAGTCTCGGAAAAACTTTTATATTGTATATACTAATATGTATCGATTATAATGACGTCTGTATAGTGATTTAACGGATGTTATGACGGTTATTTTTGATTTTATTGGAAAAAGGTTTTATCTATAATCAGTGCTCGACTTGAGGGGGGACGCAAGGGGATTATTATTTTCAGAAATTTTAGCGTCCCCCTACTATTATTATGTTATAATTATAACGCTTAACAAGTTTTGGAGATGCTCTTTTTTAAGTAAATAAAGTCCCCCTACTTTAATTTTTCCAAGTCGAGCATTGTCTATAATGATTATTAATTTAAATCTTACTCTTAATTGATAACTGTGATAACTGTCCAGCACATTCTAAAGTTGTATTGCATAATATTTAATTTGTATTTTTACCCAGTACGTCTGTTCTTCAATCAATGGATCAAGGTGTAATAAAATATATGAAAACTTATTTTCGAAAAAGTTTAGTGCTAAAAATGATCAATATGGAAAATAAAATTGAAACCAATATCAACGTATTAGATGGCATATTATTGATTTTTAAAGCTTGGGAAAGAGTACAATTCAAAACTGTTTTCATCATGCGGCTTTCAAAAATGCAATAAAACAATTAGTCCAAGAAATATATTTATACATTAATAATAGTTAGATTTATACACGTTAATTCTATTTTTTTATTTGTACAGAAATTAAAATATATTTTCTCTATGGTAAGACAATAATATGAAATGTTTTCGTTAAATAAAAAAAAAAATTTAATATAATTGGTATAGTACATACACAGATTTAAATCTTGAAGTAAATATAACTTATTATTGATCTATAAGATACTTATCTATATTAAACTTCACAGTTCTGAAAAAAAAACAAACCAATTATGTAATATATAAATAATAATAAATAATATAAAAATGTATAAAGTATGTTATAAGCTTACCGTGCAATATTTATGATACAATCATAACTAACGCTACATTTGTATTTAGGAGTATCTAATTTCCCATCTCCAAAACGCATCAATAGTCCTAGGTCAGCTAATGTATTAATCTATTTAAAAAAAAAAAATAATAAATTGAAATGTATATTTTTCAATGGCTTAAAAAATATTTTTGAATCTTTACTTGTGCTAAAAGATTGGCAGTCATATTAGTATTTTCTTCAATAATAGCATAAAATATTGCTAATAATCTATCCAACGAAAAATTTTTAGGACCAACTAGTTCACTAATGGAATTATCTGATTTTTTGGGCAATTTGGTTTTTTTCCGTTTATTTGAAGCTTTTACAAATAATTTTCTATCATACTTAGGTGAATTGAATGATGCAATGTATGCAGCGATTAAAAAATATTTTGCATAATACGGTAAATCCAGTGCAAACTTTTCAAATTTGATTTTTTCATCAGACAAACTATCCACACTTTCTAAACTGAAATTAAAATTTAAACAACCTTTGTTATGTATGAAATACTTTTATTAATACAGTATTAGTTACATTTTCATCTAATGAAATATTTACAATTTTACTTATACAGAATATATTTTCATAATAATAATCATTTAAAGTTTATTTCTTTCTAATTATATGCTACAATCATCATATTTTAAATGTGATTTGAATTTTGTGCATAATAAAACGTATTTTAAAACTTCTTATAATATTAAATCATTAATTCAGAAATAATACCTAGTTCCTAGGTAAACATTGTTCAACAATAATTGAATAGTAGGACTTATTTTTCTAAATAAAAAGTTTTGATTTAATTCTGCACATGATCCATCTTGAATTGGCTCTACATACTTCACAAAAAGAATTTTCGCCTAAAAGAATAAATGTTAAATCATACAAAATAATGATTTATTAATTCTTGAAATTACCAAGTGTTTTAATTCTATCAAATCTCGACAGTTTCCAATAAAAGATCCAATAAAAACAGTAAGAAAATTTTTGTAAACTTCTATACTCCAATCATTTGGCTTATCGATTAATAATATTTCACTAATTTCAACTAAAAGAGGTAAACCTTGAGTTTAAAATAATAGTTTTTATTTCAAATAATTACCGCTATTATACTGTTCAAGTATTATTGGTATAAAATTGATATCTTCATCAAATTTAGTTGGGAGTACTTGGCTAACAAATATAACACAAAGCTGATGACTTTTGATAAACTCTTGTAGTTTTGAGAATACCACAATAAGTTCTTGTGCCAACATTTCACATTTATCCAACACTATGATCACTCTTTCTTTTTGAATGCTAAATTGTTTTAAAACATTTATGAATTGCATAAAATTATCACATCTATGAGGCAAATCACTTTGCTTGATTTCTAAATAAAAACAATGTATAAATATATTAATATAGAATCTGTTTTATAAATCATAATGTTTACTAACGTAACAAATCTTTCAAAATAGATTCAAATAAAACTCGATTTGTATAACAACACACAGAATTCACAATTGAAGTTTTAGTTGAATCACGAATATAAAACAATAAACGACTAATTAAACTTGTCTTGCCAACAGATGGTAAACCATGGACAAATACACATGGAGGTAAAACATCGTCCTAGACAATACATATAGGTATAATTAGGGCCTTGATATAATATTATTATGGAATACATATTTATTTAGATTAAGCTGAAGTATAGCATACAGTTATATATTATATATTATTAAATATGAATTACAAATGTATACTTACTTCTATAAGCAAGTTGCACAATGTATCTATTTGTACCTCCCTAAATAAAAATTCAGAGTTTAATGATTTTATTATGGATAGTTTTGTTAAATTTGATAACATTATAGTTTATAATACAACTTTTGTTAATTAAAAACAAATTTCTGTCAAAACTAAAGTTTCAAATAATTATTTAAAAAATAAAAAATAGTAAAAAATAGTATATATAATATCAATGCGGATTCAATTTCAATAATTACAAAAATTATCACCAATACAATAGTCAATAATGTAAAAAGTAAATAAGTTATACAATAATGCAATAAGTAATACAAATTAATAATGATTATAGAATTTACCTTACAATTATAATAGTATACAAGTATTTTAGATTTGATAAAGAAATGGAGGGAAAGTCCTATCATTATTGTTCTGTTGACTAAAGGAACAGTGTTTCACTATAGCATTAAAATATAACAAATCGCGTACTGTATCTACTACAATATGTCACAGACTTATATACTAACTATATAAGATACTTCTGTTATTAAATACGAATGGATCTTTGCATCACAAATTAAGATATATTAAGGATATATAGATCAAGAATATACTTAACAATGCTCGACTTGGAAAAATTAAAGAAAGGGGAGTCTATTTACTTTAAAAAAAAAGAGCGTCCCCAATACTTGTTAAGCGTTATAATTATAACATAATAATAGTAGGGAGACGCTAAAATTTCTGAAAATTAGTTGGGGTACTCCCCCCCCCTTGCCTCCCCCAAGTCGAGCACTGATATTTAGGTATATTCGTGCTTTGGGAGGAAAAAACTCCGGATCCATGACGTTATTAGTTAGTGTTATTAATATTGTTAGCATCAGACATTATGATGATTAAATGCGTGGTGATTTATTTTTGGCATTTGTATACATTTTTACAATAAGTACAAGAGATGGAAGGATACATTAGAGAGTTTGATTGAAGAGACTATTCAATAATAGCAGAAGCATAAAAAGGAGCTTTGGTTAGGTTAGGCATTTGAATTGAAAGGAGCAGATAGGGTTGAGAAGTATCTTGTAAATGAGAATTTCGTTATGTAATGTGACATGTTTAAAATTGTTTCAATATCTTGCTTAGAGTTTGAAAAATGCTTGCCACGCCACTGATTGTGCAATTAGTCAAAACTGTTAAAAATTTACTCCATATGCTCTCAAATGTTTGAAAAATTTTAATTTACATAGCAGTTCCTATTCAAATTTGTACATAGCTTATGAAACATTATTAACAGTGTCTTCCTCGAAGCTCAACATTATTAAAACTCGACTCCGATCTCTTATCGGTTAAGACTTATTGGAATCTTTCATCTTATTGAATTCTGAGGCCAATATTATTTCTGAGTGGAATTATGAAAATATTATTGACAAACTTGCAAATACATCAAATGAAATGAAACGGTTATTTTTTTAAAATATTAAAATTTTCAAGTATTGTTAAATTATAACGAAAATTAAATAATTATTATTTGCTAATTGTAATTTACCAAATAGGTGTATAGAAATATATAATTTTTTTGTTATTTACGTAAAATATACTTAGTATGTAGAACTGTTTGTTAGTATTCATTGGTGCGACTACGATTAAAATTTGAGTAGCTAACATATTTATTTGATTAAGCCCACTTCCTACGAGCATTGACCTAATACTATTTTCAAAAAATTAAGGCCCAAGTCCCCATTAATTGCACTTATAGGTATTATAAATAGTATTAGTATCAATATTATATAATTTTAATAAATAATTAATAATTTAGTTAATGGTAAATTTAATAAGAGCTGAGTAAAGTGCTGGACTGGGTAGGCGGGATACCGGGAGTTTACCGGGGAGCCGTTTGTTTGAATTAAGTCACTTTTACTCTTTCAGAAGTTTATTTATAAGGTTTATCGGCTAATTGTGTCAACAGACGCATTTTCTAATGCACTTATATTAAAAAAAATTTATTTCTAAAATTGAATAAAAGGTCTATTCATTTTTAACAATAACATTAAGTGTTTAAATTCTCAAAATAATATACAATCATTTTATATAAAAATATATATGTTTTTTTTTTTTTTTTTTTTGTTCTTATACCTTTGGTAAATCTAAGTGAGCCATTTTTTTTTTTTTAGCCGTAGCCATTTTCCTCCAAAAACGAAATACCGTTTTCCTCCACCGTCCATTTTCCTCCAAAAAGAAAAAAAAATGTTGGTTTCCATATCCTCCACAATATTTTTGACTAAAATTATGTCTATTATCCACCAATATTTTAGCCAGTGTTGTAGGATCACATTTTGCGCGTATATGTTGATTAAATTCTGGTGGCATTCTTATCGGTTAGGGAAAAACGATAGTTCAAGTCACGTTCTAACCTAACCTAACATTGTAGCACTCTAATGTTCATGGTTCAAGTGTCCGATAGCATTTGCAGTTTATAACAGTCGATAACTGATTACGATTAATAAAGATACGTACATAGGTATAACTTGTTTTCTGTGGTACAACATACGGGCATATACGTATACACTTATTTGGGTATCATAATTTATCATTGATCATTATGATTACACTCATTGACTGAGACAGATCCACAAATATACACTCGTATCAATAAACTATATTTTTAGTAGCTTGCTGTACGTCGAATATTGTCTATAGTGTAATTTATAGTTTTTATGAATCTATCAAATTTTAATTTTTAACATGTCTGAAAAAGTGACGTTTATTCAGAGTTCTTGAGGAAACCTATGATAATTCGTGATAGTTATTTTTTAGCGTATAAGTTAAAATCAGAATCTGGATTATCACGTTGGCGATATTGTTTAACTATTTGTCAAGCAGTTATATACATTAATAAAACTGAAGAAATAGTAGCCGATGAATTACACAACAATTTATATAATCATTTGCCATCGCCAAAAAAAAATATAAATCGACAAATATTGAATAATGCATGTAAGCGAAAAGCAATTGACGATTTATTCTCGCGATCAAAAAAAGTAATACTTAAGGAATTCGAACAAAGTTCTGCCGACTGTTCAAATTTTGATGATACTGATCAACGATTGACGATTTTATTATTTTATTTTTTGGAGGAAAATGGTCAAGAATTATTTTTCTTTTATTTTTTCCCGGTAGAAATTTCTGACCCAGTTCGGTCCTTTGTATGTCAATTCCCGGCGAGGCCCTCCATACCCTGTCCGATTAGGTACATTATATACATTTTTCTAACCAATTTCAGATAAAATATATTAAGTATATAAGTTATGAATGTAAAGTTTTTCAATATAATTGGGATGACTGGATAATTGGAAAAATTATATAATAGCGAAATATTCATACTTTTCAATCAATATATTTGAATTTTATCAGAATCACTCAACGTTTTCAATGCTTATTAATTTGTAACATAATGTAAACTATTCTTTAAACATCTAGTTCTCAACGCATAACGATAACTGTCAAAAACAAGAGACGTTTTCGTATTTATCCTAAATAACTTAGTTAAAATGTTTTCTCGCTTCGAACAACAATCATTTCATTTACACGAGCGATAGATTATTATCAAACGTATTGGCACGGATTTCATCAACTCCACGTGTTTACCGTGTTCGCCGTCGTTCAGTGCGGCGGTGTTCGACAAATCGTTATACATCTGAACTACGCGGACCAACGGAAATTCTGTAAAACGAACTGGGTAAACCGTTTGCGAGGTGCCAGGCAACCAATGTGCAGAAAACCAAAAACGGCGAAAAGCCGCGGGGACGTTGCGCAAAGGCGCTATAAAATACTGCCGAAGTTGCGCTGTAAGAAGCGATTTGCCGTTTCTTGTGGAATAACGTTGCCGGAAATCAATCGTACGTTTTAACGTAACACGCGTCTACGGTACGCACGGTAGTATAGCATACGTTTCGTTGGCCGCACTGCGTCATTAACTTAGGCTGAATTCGGCCGTCGAAATGTTTAACTCGTTACGGACAACACGACGATGTGAATACAAATACAATAATTTTTATCGACTTGTGTACCGTGCACTCGTGTTTATCCCGTGCGTACACGCGAAGATCTCGATTATGGTATCGTTCATCATACCTATACGTGTTTGTTGTTATTGATTATCCGCTTCCGAACCCACTCTCGCCCAATCGGTCAACACGACAATATTATTAGTATTGAGCGGGTTTTCCTTTTTTTTTTTTTTTTAGATTTTCCGTTCACGTTTCGATGGCCTAACAACACGGACCTCGTCGTACCACTTCTCACGGGGAGATCTCGACTTCCAGACCGCGATTAGATAAACGCAACAGTAAGTCTTTCTCCACTCGTCATCGCGTCCCTTCCGGCGGAACCGCCACCTCCCGCTCCCTGCGTTGTTTACACGGGACGTAAATACATGGTGCGTCGGCCTTCCACTTCTTCGGTTACTATTGGTTTCACAATATTTGTTCTTGCTTATTATTCTCCGTATTCTCTGGCCGTGTCTTGTTTTTTTTGCCCGTTATCGTTTTTTAATCGATTTGCGTCGAACATATTATATTCTTCGTGCCAATAATGTGACACAGACAATTAGTGTTATATTTTACAAAAAATTCCTTTTTTTTTTATATTTTCATAATAATTCAGCTATTTTATTGGCGCCGCTCTTTTGAAATAAGACGATCCTTTCTAATCGTCCTCAGGATGTTCCGTTAGTTATCAGTCTGTCAAAAAGTTATTCCCAATGATAATAAACTTCTGTGTTATTCTGGAATTTCCTCCAGTGCTCCATCTATTTTTATATTGGGCAGTGTAATCATATGTTTTTCCGTATTCGGCCGTATCAATATACAATAGTCGTTTTGATAGATTATGAATGAAATTCATAATTGCTACTCTATGTTCCTCTTAATTCAACACGTATTGCAATTAATAATGTCTATTGGAAACAATTATTTAAATAAAAGGTATTCCAACGTATCCATAACAATGCATTACATTGATATGTTAATCTTTGAAATGTTTCAAAAACTAAAATTTGGTTTTTTTGTTACCAGCCTTTCAGTTCGTAATTAATTGATTTGTTATGAATAGATAATAAATCTCAAGTAACATTTTCTTTTTGTCAATGTATTGAACTTCTGAGTATTGTAGTTTTTTTGATAATTTTATTAGTTGAGTATTTGAAATATTCTAATAAAAAGTTTTTATAGAAGTATAAAATACGTAGTATATAAAAATATAATAAAGCATATTCAGTAAATGTACATGTATATAAATAAATAAATAAATAAATTTAATTAATGTGAATTGTCTGACAATTTTCCTTAAATTTAATAAATGTTCAATTTAAGTAACATAAAATAATAATATATTATAATTATAATAATTATAATTAACGAGTAATAAATTTGGTTAAGTTATAATAGTCTTTTATTTAGTCTGTTATTTCTTGGAAATAATTTATTACTTAATTAATAGTGGAACGCGATCCAAATAAAAGAAGAGTCAAACCTCCTGCTAACCCTGAGTTAGTATGTTTAGATGATATTGATGGTGAAAGTTCATCTGATAGTGATTTTCGTATTGAAGATCATTATGTTAACAGTGAATCTGATTCTGATGGAGCTTCATATTTCACCTATACTGATGGTGAATATATTATATTATTTTTAATTTATTTAAATCAAACCAGAAACTTTTTTCAATATACTTTAACTTAACATATATGTATAAATATAAATTTATGTTTTTAAAGATGACCAAGAAGAATGTGACAAAGAAGATGACGAAATTAAGTGTATTAATAATATAACAACTGATGAGTCAGTGGCTGGAACATCTTATCAAGATAATTCTAAAAAAGTAAAACTTATTTATTTTAAAATAAATATACTTTTTATTAATATTAATATTTTTTAGGTAAATTTTAAAGAAATTATTGATAAAATTCACATTTGTAGTATTTGTTTGGGTGATGCTAGTGATGATGTAAATGAGTTAATAGATTGTGATGAATGTGGTATATCGGTACATGAAGGTAAGTTTACAATTATAAATTAAGCATAAATAAAAAAAATTGAATACTATATTATTGTTTTTTAGGTTGTTATGGTGTACATGATACTGGAAGTGTAAGCTCATCAGTTTCTTCGTGTTCTATGGAACCATGGTTTTGTGAAGCTTGTAAAGCAGGCATAGAAAATCCTACTTGTGAACTATGTCCTAATTTTGGTGTGTACACAATTTTAAACATTGCTTTGTATATAACTTTGAAATACATTTTGTTTTTTTAGGTGGTATATTTAAAGAGACAGATTGTGGAAAATGGGTTCATTTAGTGTGTGCTCTTTATGTTCCTGGTATATCATTTGGTGAAGTTACTAGTCTTAGTAAAGTTATATTATTTGCAAATACTTCTCCTCGATGGGGTAGTAAAAGTTGTACTTTGTGTAAAGATATGAGATTTATGTGTACTGGAGTAACAATTGGATGTGATGCTGGAATGTGTCGATCAAATTTTCATGTTACTTGGTAAGTTGTATTAATCAACAAAAGAGGCTCATTGAGAATGATAAAAAGTTCACCAACCATTCATTGAATGTAGACTATATATAGTGTACAACAATATTACATACATAATAAGCCAATTAGGTGCATTATTAAATAAAAAATATTTATAAAGCACAAAATTTATTATTTTTATAATGTATACTTACTTAATTTTTCCCAAAATAATTCTTTTTTTTTTTTTTTTTTTTTTTGTTAAGTTTCTACTCGCATAAATTTATAATAATTTTTTTATTTTTATTTAAATTGTCCTATTTTTTATGTTGGCAATTAGTAGAAATTTCCTTTGAAATATCTATGAATCCTAAAAATTAAAAGTCATCAGTTTAAAAAGTTACATTTTACATGAAATAATTTATCAATATTAAATTGTTTTTAAAAATACTTAATAATAATTACTTGACTAGTGCTCAGCGAGAAGGTAGCTTATCTGAAGCCACAAGTCCAGAAACTGATCAATCCGATCCATTTTATGCTCATTGTAAACTGCATGTGGATAAACTTGTTGCAAAGTTAGTATATTTTTTAATTTAGAATTTATTAATTATCATTTCTTTTAATGATTATGAGTTAAAGGAGTATTAATTTCAATATTTAACTGATAATTCATTTTGGGTAATCCTAAAAATATAAATTAATATCAAAATTAAATATTTATATTAATAAAAAAAAAGTTGCTTTTGCTAAAAATTAGCCAGGACCATCTATAGATATTTTTTAAAAAAATTTTATATACTGTACTCATTATATTTATAAACTAACCTAACATGTATATATTACATATATATACAGTGGAATATTTTCAAATTTATTATGGGGAAGTTTCAAATTGTTCTAAAAAATAAGTGATTTTAATATTATAAAAAGTACACAAAAGGTATGAATTAATAATTATGATATTCTATTAGTATAATAAATATAAATAAAGATTTATTTACAACCATATGTGATTTAAATTAATGTTTTTTTCCCTGCACCTTTGTATCAAGTCATTTATGACTTGAACCTTTTTTTTTCTTCTGGGGAGGGGTTGAAACCCAGGAATCCTCCCTCAAAATATGATATTGTATATATATAATTGTATATTGTATATATAAATGTATATATATTAATGTGTTAAAGAAAAAGGAAAAGAAATTGGGAAATACTTCAATTGAGAACAAAGCAAATGAAATTATTGCGAGAAGAACAGTCATCTGAGAAGTCAGCTACATGGCAACGTAATCAACGAAGACTTGAGAAACTAAGATCTAAGTATTATCAATTGAAAAAAATCAATAAACCAGAGTCGAGTATGCTATTTATATAATAATTTGTATTTTAGTTAAATAATATTTATATTTGTAATTAACAGCATATAAATCAAAAGTTCCACGTCCTATTACAACTTCAGCTTCAGCATGTCGAGCCCTATGGTTAAAAGCCAGTTTAATGGGTATAAATATGACTTCATATGAGGCCATTGAAGGTCATATTAAGGCATTACGTGATGTACCGAAAAAATGGCATATACCTTCTTCATTTAGGTTACCATAATAATAAGTTATTTATTTATTTATTTTTTAATGAGTTAAAACTAATTTTGATGAATATTTTATAGTTTGGAATTTGTTAGTTATTTCTTAGATAGAAATCTAAGATTGGCAGATTTTAAAAATCAGTTAAAGCATTATACTGATGAAAACAATAGGCTTCATGATGAGCAAACTACAGTTCAAGAAAAATATAATAAAGTAATTAAAATTTTTAATAATTTACATTGACACATCTTAATTAAATAACATTTATCATAGGTATCCAATGATAATGAAATTCAAAAACAAAAACACATGGAACTGAAAAATATTATATTAGCGTATCATGATGTGATCAAATTTGGAAATCCTAATGCCAAAATTCCAGATATTGATACACTTACTAGAGATAGTCATGAAAATGATCATTCTGTTTGTTAGTTTACTTAAATTATTTATTTTTTTTTGGAATATTTTTTTATTGATATTGCTTAATTTTTATTAGCATGATGACCAAATATATATTTTAAGATATATATGGTTTGTTTTGTTTTATTTTTAGCCATGAGTTCCATTCCTACTCCTGCTGCATTAAAAGCAGGAATTGGATTGTCTGTGAGACATAATGATTCTCTAGGATTTATTGGTAATATCATTTTAACTAACTTGTAATGTTCATATTTTATGTAATATATTATTTATTTTATAATTAATTAAAATCCAAAATGTTTCTTTTAGATAATGAAGCACCAATAGGTATAAATAATAAATGTGGTATTTGTGGTCGTACTAATGATCAACATTTACTTGCAAAATGTGATACATGTTATTTGTATTATCATTTAGGATGTTTAAACCCACCACTTACTAGGATGCCTAAAAAAACAAAATTATTTGGCTGGTAATTAATATTTTTATTAATATTTAAAAAAAGTATTCTAAATTATAATGTTATTGTCCAGGCAATGTAGTGAGTGTGATAATAGTAACTCTAATTCTGAACCAGAAACAGTTGATCCAAATGCTCCCAGGAAATTAAGGTATGGAGCTGGAGAACGATCAATATCTGATAGTCGTAGATCTTCATCTGTAGCAAATGATGTATGTATTCTTAAAAAGAAAAAGGTACTTGACATTTATACAAACTAATTAAACATGTATTTAAGTTGCAGGAGTTTAATAATTTATCTGAACAGAAATTTTCTGGTGTATCAAGTTAGTATATTTATTTTTTTTTAACTGTATATTAATTTAATATACATACACACATATATATATATATATATATATATATTTGTTTATTTATATATTTATATATTAATATTTAATTAAATATTAGAGAAAAAAAAACATGAACGCCACAGAGAAAGATACTCTCCTGAAATTATAGCCACAAAGCGTGTAAAGTCACGTAAACGCAAACATAAACATCACAGAGACAATAACATTGTAGAATTAGAACCAACTAATGATTTAATTAATGAACCACCTAGACAAGGAATTAAATTATTTGTAAGTTATAATTATTTACTTTTAAGGATTTTGAATTCATTTTGAATTTATGCATTTAGATAAAATCTGTACCAAGTGCTAGTGGTGTTAAAACAACATCTTCACAATTACTTATTGCACCACCAGTAGAAGAAATACCTCAAACATCCACAAAAATCAAACTAGAAAAAAGTGTTGCCCCTCTTAGGATCACCACAACTGCAACAGATATTAAATTGACTCCTAAGTGTGATACTTGTAAAGCAACAGGAACTAATTTAACTATGGTTCAGTAAGTATGATCAAATTAAAATATAATTATTATCTGGCGGAATACATCAATAAAAAAAGTTATGTAATTTTAATATTTAAAATTCTTAATTTTTAAAGAGTTTGCTAGCAATTACATTTGTTAACAACAGGTGACAAATTTAGATAAGTTTTGTTTCATATAAAATATACTGTTCTTTCACAATTAGTATTTAAATATATAAATTGTATACTAAGCTAAGAAAGATAATATATTATATATTTTGAAATTAGTTTTTTTATATAAAGATTTTTTATAATTAATAAGTGTATTTTACAATATATTGTATCTATTAGTTATTAAATATCTTTAATTGTTTGTGAAACACAAAATTAAAAAGTATTTTTGTTGGGTTACTAATTATTATCTTCATAAGTTTTATTATAGATTTATATTTTATTTATAAGTCTTACACTTTTGTTTTATTATGGAATGGGATATTGAAATGTTACTTTCTACACAATTTAAATGAATGAAATTGTAATAATAGAATGTTTAATGAAAAAAGTGAATAAAAAAATGTTGGTTATCTTAAACAAAGGAAAGTGTGGATAATATAACAATGATTAAAAGTTGAAGATGTATATTTAACTACCATAAAAATATTGTTTGATAATATATTTTAGGAGAATGTTTTAGTTTTTAAATTTATATGTTATGAAACTTGTCGAAATTGCCTTTACTATAGTAAAACTGATATTTTGTTATGCTTAATTACAAAAAAAAAAAATGATATAATTTTAAATGCATTAATTTACTGGTCATTAGTTAATATTCTAATATGGTTTAATATTTATTTTTTATATTAACGTATTTCGTTTTTTCAGATGTGATGAATGCAGTAAAAATTTTCATTTTTATTGTCTTGACCCCCCATTGAAAAAATCACCGAAAGTACGTGGGTACTCATGGCACTGTGCTGAATGTGATCCAACGGTACATGAATTATTTCCTTAGGTTTTTAGCATTGAATACACATTCTACTTTTTAAATATAAACTTATTTATTTCTTTATATCATAAAGTCTAGAGACAAATGATCTTCCAGTTGAAATTTACTAACCATAGTTAATATTTAGTTTCATTCCTAGAATTTTTTAAAATTTAGTTTATAGTTAGGTTGTAAGATACATATATAATTTATATAGGATAAAAATGCAGTATACAAGTGAATAAGAAAATGTATTAACAACAATACAAATAAATGTATATTCATTGTACATTGTATAGATACAAAGATGAATGTGTAATTAATGTAATGAAAATAAAATCATCAATATTGTATTAAAAAAATAATTCTGAGCAGAGCTCAGATCGTTTACATTAATTTTCATAATTTATTTATTTATACTATGGTTGTGGAGATTCATTAATAAAATGTTTTGACATCTAGTGAAAATTGTCTAAATCAGAATCTGTAGGTGATTAAAAAATAAATAAATAAATAAAAATATCCTAAATTAATTATCCATTTATTATTTCCTGTAAAAAATTGAATTGTTTTCAAAATTCTGTTTTAATAGTTTTCACTGTAGTTGGATTATGATACAATTATTATTGAGTAATTATACTTTGAAAATTATTTGACAATTTTTAAATCAACAATTTAAATTGGGTTTATTATATTAACAATGTCAAAGAACATTGTTACATTACATAGTTTTAAAACCCATTATTTGTTGCTGCTCAGAATTTATGATTTAATAGAATTTTATTTAATTTTTCATAGGCAATAAAAATTAATTTATCTGTAAATAATATAAAGTGATTCAACATAGTTCATGTTGTATTCAGTTACATTTACATGTTAATTATTCAATAAATTTATATATACATAAACATATTTGAATTTAATTAATTTATATTTAATAAATATATTTCAGGATAGTGACTCGTCTTAAAATTTGGAAACCCAGTTCCATTTAAAAGTACCAATTCGCTATTGTTGTACTGAAAATGATTTGTAATGTGTGATATACCTTACAACTATTTATATTTACAATATTTAAATTGTGTCAATACAATAAGTTATTATGTATACATTTTTTTTTTTTTTTTATAAAAAAAATGTTAATAGTTTATGTGCTACTTATGCTACTAGTACTAGCATATTATGTATTGTAATTTTCTAATAAAGATAAAAAATGAGAAATTAAATCATTTGTGTGTTTTATTTGAGTTCCTAAAATATTTTATCATCGCTATAACCATACTTTTTTTCTACTATTTTTTTCATGCATGATTATATATTAATATTGGAATCATAGAATCAATTATTTTTTTGGGTCATTTCTGCTAACAAACTTAATTGCTGGTTGACTATGTCATTAATTTAACATGTTCAGCATGCTTTTCCATCTTAAGTACAGAGGTGGATAATTTTAAATTAGACAATATTGATTTTTTTATCTTAATAATATATTTTTTGAAAATTTTGAAATTTTATGTTTAGATCATCACTAATTAAATTATATATGACCACCTTAGATTATATTATACAGATTTTATTTGTCTCCAAGAGTCGTTAGCAATTTACTATCTAAATTGCATATAGCTTTTACTTAGTCATATAGACACTCTGGTTACTCAAGTGTGGATGTTGTAATAACGGGCTTTCAATGTAAATCTATGAGATTTTTTTACAAATTTTATTTTTAAGATTAAAATTATATCTTGAACCGAGTAAATATTGTTTTAATTATTTGGCGTAATTGCAGGCAATTAATGCCTATAAATAAATTAAAAGATTGAACTTAAATCGTTAACTAATATTGCAAAAGTAAAATGATTTAATGCACCGGTGTGTTTCAAAGTGCTAAGTTCGTTTATAATTATTCACAAATTACATATAGTGGCTGTATTATCCATTGTCATTGCACGCGATAACCACGAAAATACGTCGTTTAAACACTACACGTCAAAAACAACAATTATTCATTATTATGATTTTGTTCTCGTGTATTGCCACTGCTTTATTTCGGGTATACGTTACGTTTTAATTGACACGAACTTGATAATATAATAAATTAATCGACGTAAAGTGCAACGAACACGTGGACTGCAAACAATTATAACGATTGAACGATATTATAATTTAAAACCGATATCGGAGACCAGTGGCGATCATTTGAATCGTGCGATTCAAAAACTATACCCAAACGAAAAATGTTCAAAAACGTATTTTTTTCATTATTATTACACACGATGAATAGATGGGAAATGTTGAGAGGCGTGTGAACGTTTTACACGCAAACCAAAGTAAAAAAAAAATATATATATATATATAAGCTACCACCCGCGGAGACAATAATCAAATATTTACAAGTGATATAGATTAAATTGCATTAATGGTTCGTACGTGTTAATCGGAAATAATGTTTTCGTTTTGCAAGTACTACGTTCGAGACAAATCGTATGACGTTCATGAAATAATATTTTAACGGAACATTTTTTTTATGGATTTCTCATTTTTACCGAACGAATTCACTAAAAACAATAGACGGCGCCGGGAACGTGTAGTAGTGCAACCGTACATGCACGCCAAATGTTTCTTATCGCAACGTTATCACATTATGCAAATATTCATTCATCTTTAATATTCCGTGTCTTTTGCCGGCCAACTGTGCCCTCGCAATCCTAACACGGTCTATAAATTAAAATTATTTTTTTTTTCTTCATTTTATTCGATTTTATATTGTATAGCGATCCAAAATTACTTTATTCACGGTATTTTTAGACATAATCATTTGATACAGGTATGTGAGTAAATTCTGTTTTGAATATTTTATTCGGTTCGTGATGTCCACCGACGGCTTGTTGCGTCTTACGTTTTACATTAATTTTATGTAATACATGCATTTTGTTTTTCAGCTATTTGGTGACAGGTCACTGTTAAATATGTTTAAATTTTTCACGTCGGTGGCCATGGCTCAAGGCGTAATGGCTTCGACAAGGAGTATATCAACGACTGGTGGACCGCTATTGTTCCGTTCATCTGCTCCCTTGTTTGGTGAGCCGCTGAAAAAGAAGAAGCGTTTGGATCCACAGATATTGAAAGCTAGAGAGGATAGAAAACGCAAAAAAATAGAAAAAGCCATTCGCAAATTAGAAAAGGTTGTTAAAGTGTATTGATATTAATATAATAGTGTAATGTATCAAATATTTGATTGGAGTTGAGAGTGCTAATATTTTAGCAAGTTATTGTTATTAAGACTTTAAAATATTAGTAACTAGACTAGCGATTAAATTAAATTTCTCATAGGACTTGAGCATCTGCTATCTATATTTACTTTTATTTTCAGGTGTCGAAATCATTAAAACCCATTGATGAAGTACAATTAATGGCATTATTGTCCAATGAAATAAATACTCGACAGAGACCAGCTGTTAAGTTGAGTAAGGAAAAGATTGAGGAACGGATGCTTGCAGAAAAAACATGGACAAAGTATAAACACAAGGAACACTTTTTCAATCTTCAAGTTATCAATGACTTAGAGTATTCACAACAACGAGCATTAAATGAACTACGTGAGGTCTCAGAAGAATTATATCAAGCTGCTATTGAAATTAATGAATCTTTATTGCCTTATCAATTAACTGGACCTGTAGAAACACCCCCAATCGAAAATTACCAAAGCCCTGATGGAGAATATCTTGACATTTCAAAAAAATGGGACTAAATTATGTATTATATATTAATTTTTAAAATTATATATATAAAAGTAAACCAATTATTAGATATTATAAAATTTTAAAATACATGGTAAATTATCAGTCGCTAAGTAGTATGCTTTCTTTCTTAAAATTTAATAATTCTAAGAAATTTTTTGGAGTTAAAAAATAATCTGGAAATTATTAGCGATTTTAGTTTTACTTTTGCATTATATTATATTCATCTATTGTTAACTTCTATTATAATGTAAAATTACGACTTGTTCCATCTACTACTTGGGTCGTTATATCTACAACCATAAATATGTTATCAGGCTTAATCCTGTATCTAAAATATTAAGTTAAAAAGCTGCAATATTTCATTGTATAAGGTATAAAAATAATTTTGAATGATTATTCTGACATATGTGAACATGAATAAAACCTTTACTTGACACTAAATTTTTTTTGTTTAATTAGTTATTTATATAGAATAATTTAATTATTTATGTTATCTAATAACTGCTCAGAAATCCTTTGTAAACAAAGTGGGTCAAAATGCAAAAAAAATTATATACATCATTGAACAACTTTTCAGTATCAAGATAAAATCAAAATAAAAAAAAAAAAAATTCAAGTCCTATACAGAAAAAAAATATGACAAAATGTTTAAAAATTAAATGATTTATAAAAAAATTTAAATAGATTTATTTAATTTCGAAGATGTTATTTTATTTTGTATAAAGTATAAAATTAAAAAAAAAAAAGGTGGTCTTTGTTCCAGCAGAAGGAAAATAAATTTAAGTCTTTTCAAGAAAAATAAAATGTATTAAAAATTTTTAAATTTGATTTATAAATAGATATAAAGTTTTAATTTAAATATTTTATCAGATTTTAACATTTTTTAAGTAAATTACAAAATTATCATATTTATACCATTGAAAAATAAAAGTTAAAAATGAGAAATGGTTACCTGAATCCTGAAATAATTTTGATTAAGTTTGATGAAAAAAAAATCTCAATTCTGAAAAGAAACATAAAAATAATTGAGTTAAAATTATATTATTTGATAATCAAATGGTAGTATTTATAATGTTTATTTAATTTATTTAAAATTTTTATATACGTTGGAAAGTAAGCATGATACTTATATTTTTTAGCCATTCTTTGTACAAAAGAATATGATAGATTTAAATCTTCTAAAAAGTATAAGATAATTCAAAATGTATCAGTCAAATAAAAAAATTGCTTAGTAAAATCAATTTATTTTTAGGTTTACTTGATTTTTCACAAGAAGTTATGTGGATTCTCAATCGATTTAAATATGACTTTTAGTGAATTATTATTGGTTACCTATGTTTGTGTTTCGAATTTTTTTAGTTTTAGTAAACATACCATTCATACTTTATTGTTTGTTTGTTGGTAAAACATTGTATGGCACTGGCAATTTGGATAACATTGTTGATACAACCTATACATGCATATTATACATTTTTTATCATTCAATTTTATAAGAAGTATATGTTCACAATAAATATGTATGTCTAGAGTTAAGTTGTTTTTATATATTCTTGTTAATAAGATTAGTTATTTGTGTATCAAATATTGATTATTAAAGACAATTATTTGTTAAAAGTTTATTTTTGTGAAATTTTGATGATCCCTAGTGAAAGAAAAAATAAAAAAATATCTTACACATATTAATTTTAAGCTTTAATATTTTAAAGTTCGTTTTTATTATTATGAACTAAATTTTTAATAAATATTACAATTTTAATCTTATGAAAATTTTTTAGCTAACAATCCACATGTCAATGTATTTGAAGTTGACTATTACAAACAGCTACAAATCCACTTATGATTTCTTAGAATCAAAATTTCAGGTGATATAAATTATAAATAATAAAAGACTCAAGTAAATAAAAAAATTATGTTAACAGTTTGATACTTATAAATACTTTATAATCAAACTGTTTTTTTTTATAAATTATATAGAAAACTGTTCTTGGCTAACACTTAAATTAATTTTAAGTAACACTTAAATATAGGTTAGCATATAGGTGACAATAGAATACAGTAAGTAGATAATTGTAGTGTATTCATATGAAACAATAAATAATAATTACAATATGTTGTAAACACGCTGTTTTAAAAAAATTTAATAATACTTAATTTACACTGTAACTGGTTTTTTTCTCATCTTATACGTTAATAACATTCAGAAATTTTATGATTGACCATCAAAACTTTTATTATTTAAAATAAAATACTAATACTATAAAATTACTAATTAGTTCATATTTAATTAATCTTTCTCCACTCGGTTTACAATTCTGAATAAACTATACTACACGTATAAATAATGATTTAAACAGATACATATTACATAACCTATGATAAATAAATTAGCTCTGAACCAACTTTATTCATGATGGATTCCTCAAAATTGTATATTAATATTCAGTGACGCCAAACCTTATGTTGAGGTTGAGCTCCAGCCCAAAATTTTTCGGAAATGTAAGATGAGGCCTTTTATATTGTCCCGAATACAAAATTTCTATATTAAATAATGTAAACATTCATCTAGCTATATTTATTTAAATGGTTGATTGGTTTGTGTATAAAAATAATGCATAGGCGTGCGCAGACTTTATTCGCAGGTTATGCAATAAGAAATATAGGGCCCCTCACAAATAAATTTTCTAATCTGCCCTTAATTTATTTGCATTTTCTTTTAACGCATATAAGTCACAATCTAAGTTTTTGCATATATACTACTTAGCTTCTTTACTTCCCTTAGAATCTAAAATCACACATAGTTTTACAGTAGAATATTAAAAAATGCACTGTAGAAATAAGTAGTTTGAAATTTGATTTATATTTATTAAAAAAAAATTTATTATTTATTTAAGATCAAGTATGTACTATATTGAATGCTTTTGAATAATTTTAACATATCTATAATGTTGTTATTTTATGGAGAGTACTTAAAATCTAAAGTTCAAGTCTTCTTTTTATCGGCACACATGCTTTGAATTCATCTTTTACATCTTCAATATTGATTTCTGATGCCATCTTTTGTTCGATAAATATTAACATCAGTGAATCAAGATGTTCTTGTAACATAGTGTTTCTAAGTTTAGACTTCACAATAGACAATTTGGAAAAGTCCCTCTCACACGAGCAGCTTGTCACAGGTATTGTTGCAAATTGTGTTAAAGCTTTATTGAAGTTTGAAAATATTGTTTTCCGGTCGTTTTCTGATAACCAATTCAGCCATACTAAAATTGTTTTAGTTGATGACCCTCTAATAGAAGTTTTATTAGACATATTTGTAATGAGCTTAATTTCTGACTCAAATGTAGTATTCAAATTAAATTTTTCCTTCAACATTGAAATATCATTACTATCAAGCTTTAATTGATTTAAATTTCCTGTGGCGGTAATTAAATTTAAAGTTTCTTAACTTAATAATAAATATGGGCCCCTCGCATGAAGCCACAGACTATGCAGTGGCATACCCTGCATACCCCGTGCGCACGCCTATGAAATAATGATTCATATTTTGTGCGTATAATTGGTCTTAACCCTCCCTCCAGAAAGGTAAATTTCTGTATTAATGATTGAGAAAAACTCTCGTCTTTTGGCTGTCTTGGTTTGTATGAAAAATACATAAAATGTGTGATTGAAATTCAAAATTGAATTTTTTAAATTAAACATCAATACATTTTTTTGCAGTAGGAGGGAAAATTAATCCCTCCCCCAATACTACATAATAGTGGCCGATATTTAAATATTGTGATCTTTTAAAATATTTTTCGCTCAATTAAATTTAAGGACTTCGGCGCCACTATTAATATGATGAACCATTATAAAATGTTACTTTAATTTATAAGCCCAGGACTATGAAAATTCTATTCCAAAATGATGATACAGTTATATCAAAGTTTGTTTTAATGAATGATGTCACCTCATTCATATTAATATAATAATATTTTTCCATTCAATATTTGTTTAAACTATGAATAATCTAAATTTATAAATTTAATTACCTACTTTAGTGTTTGTTTTTTTATTATAATAAATATTTTTTTGATTTACTTGCATCAGTGGTCTCTAGACCCCAGGATACTTCTTTTCATTTTTTATTAACAATTTAAAGTACAATGTTTTTAATAATATTTAATTATAATTTTATAAGTACATAAATAATGTTTAAAATTAATTAAAATTAAATTATTTATCCTCCAACATCCGGGAACCAGAAAATTAAGCCTTTTTGGGAATACTTTTTTTTATCGCGATAGAGAAATATTTATAAATATTATTTATCCTTTTAAGATATTGTAAATTTTTAATATTTTAGCCGTGTTTCAAATTACAATACGTTTTAATATTTGTACATAGTTATATTATAACATGCACTATAGTCTAATAGTTAAAGTAAAAATTGTTTTAAAACAGAAACTTAAATGAGGGTAAATAAATAAATCAAATTTATTTAATTTACATAAAATATCTTAGATCTTTTATATTGTATGATTACAATTATCTAATAATTATAAAATCTTAATAAATATGATATGTGTCTTTTTAGACGTTGGATTTTTTATTGTTTCAATCTAAAGGAAGTGTCCTTCGAGAGATGTACGATTATATGACGAAAAAAATCTTTTGAACCCATCAATATCGGAGTACAACAATATCGTCAGGAGTGCTTATATTAGATAGCCGCAGCAAGCGAACAAATTTTGAAATTTACAAATTTCAATAAACAATATGTATATAAATGGGTCTCGATAAACATATAATCAACAACATCTGTAACGTTATCGATATTTGTCTTATGGACTAGACAATATAACTTACACAGTACACTACATTATATCACTACGTTTAATATTCGGAACAATAACCCATAAAACCGCGTTGTATTTCGTTAATGTTTAGTCAAAAGTCTTCGACGACGACGTATGGACGTGAGCGATGCGTAGTTATGAACTAATAACGTGCGGGCTCTTATAATATCAGTTCACGGAGACGGTCCGGGAACGAGCACGGTGTCATCGTGTCATTTACACGTTGATTATGGACAGGATCGCTTTGACGACGGACGCGGCGGCCAACGAGGCGTACGGCTGCCATTTGTTTTTCGCCGACCCGTATTTGTAGTCCGATATGCCCCGGACCACCGCGTACGAATGACAATAGTTGCCCATCAGCGACCCCATGACCGAGTCGAATTCCGAGTCAATGGCCAGCAGCTTGTACTCGGCAGCGAACTTTTGTCTCTCGAACTCGCAGGACATGGCGCTCCGACCGCCGCCGATCGGACCCACGTGTATCCTCGGGCCTCTGAAACCAAACGGACAGCGTGTCATGATTAGTGTAAGCGCGCAACAGAGGGGTTTGGAACATCTGTCGTCATCATGATCGCATCCCTCAACGGAGGTGGGGTTAAGGAAAAACACCCGGTCGGGATTTTAATTACAAACGACTGAATTGTATTAAAAAACGATTGGGGAACATTGATCATTTAGTTTTTGTTTGTTTTTCCCGCTGTATTGGTCAGTGATCAGATCAGACTTGACCCACCCAAAACACCATACGTGACAACAACTCACAATTGCTGCTGCCGGTCACCACCGTCCTTCCGTCGGCAAACCGGATGCGCGATTTCGATCACTTCCGTTCCGCCGATGTACATTTGAAGAGTGTCCGAGTCCGCCGGCGGCCGTTTGAAATCCAACTCGTCCGTCATATTTTGTTCTTCGATTGCGTTCAGACCTTCCCTTAGGTATTCGTCCCACAACGACTTTTTGCAGTCGTCCACCGATTTCACCTACAATCCATTAGTAATAATAAACAAATATATAAGAACGCTCTGGGCAGGCTCGAATATTGCTAAAATTGTACTTTATAGCACCTCGACGTTTGTGGTTTTACGTTTTTTTAGTTTTCAAATTGTGCCACTTTGTCAAAACGTAACAGTTGAAGTTTTTATTTATATTTTATTTTATTTTTTTTTTTTATTACATGCACCTCGGCAACTGTTAGGACCATCGGGTAATAGTGGGTCATGATGGTATAGTAACACGAGTACGTTTGTACTAGCTCTCGGAATACCTACGTGGTTTTTAGCCACATCGTTATTAAAAACTCGTATACATATTCGGGAGCTTGCGTGGCTAACCATCATCGCATTTCCTGTAAATGCTTTTGTTTCATTCGAGATCATTGAAATATAATTTATTACTATTTTCATCCCTTTAATCTTCACGTTATTTTCACCACTTTCACGAAGTATAGGAATACACGTCATACAAGTCGAGCTCTTATGAATCACGCACATCCGACAACAATCTGACCCGAAACAGACCCTGTCCGAACACAAGACTTACTTCAGTTTGCAATTTCATCGCAGCTATCTGAATATCGAATACTTTCGGACTGTACTGGCGGCAATGGAAATTTATGTTTCCATTTTCGGCGACGACTTTCTCACAATACGTGTAGACAGCCCTGGATTTAATAATAATACTTCGATTAAATTATTGGTCGTCACACACGAATCGTTAGCGTGTATCTTTATAATAAAAACATCGGCTGCTGTGTGCATTCCAATAAATATACACGTACTTTTGATTGTTTCCGTAATGAGAAACGACCACGTCTCCTAGTTTCACGTGTTTGTCGTAGTTCGTGTAATGTGGTACGCCGCCTCCAGCACCGCACACGAATACGTGTTCGACTTTTTGAAATGTTCCTGTAAATCGTTCCGGTTATTAAATCAAAGTCTATCATGAGAATATGTAGTTAACCTAGCAAGCGAGTTATTGCATTGCCCGCAGCAGTCGTAGCTTCTCGACTTTGACCTAACACGGGAAGTTTGGTGCAAACTACGCTGTGGTTTCCCATTTTTCCGATTGTATAAACGTTTGATTCGCCTAAAAAAAAAAAAAAAATTAAATTACACCTCATACCATAGTGGTACAATTAAGTTCGAGAATTTTAAAAGTTTTTCGTAGGACTCTATACTATATACCAGTGATGTCCAACCTTTTTCCTTTGGCGGGCCACTTTGGTAAACAATTATCTTCAAGTGGGCCACAAAGTATAAAAGTACAAAAATAATCTTAAATATTGGACTTATTTTCTTATCTTTTATTGTCTATTGAAAAGATTATGAATTAAGGTACACATTAGTTTGATTAGTACGTTATTTTAAGTACACGGATGATATCGATATTTAATTGTAAAGTTTGCGTATGAAAATGTCAGACAGAAAAAAACGCAAATATATTGATGATTGCTGAATTTTCAATGGTCTATAAATTACTTTTTCATTGAAATTAATGGAAAAGCCGTTTGTCTTGTGTGTCGTGTAACGGTTTCAGTTTTTAAAGAATTTAATATCAAACGGCATTATGAATCAAAAAATGTTCTTACATTTTTAAAAATTTTTTTTTATTTTAGAAAATTCGTAACGGGCCACATAGAATATCTTTGTGGGCCACTTGTGGCCCGCGGGCCGCGGGTTGGGCACTACTGCTATATACTATTATCGCAATATATTATTAATTAATTTTGGTAAGTGCTTTTATGACTGACAGCCCCAACTGAGAGATTGATCTAGCCAATGTTTATTTTAGACTTTCTATCTGGGTGGGGGTATCGTAAATTTTCAAAGGATGTATGTAGTAAGCCATAGGATTAAATAATTAACAAATAAATACACTTTTTTGGAGGGGTTCACTAACTGGTTATCTCCCTGAAATAAAAACTGGATCATATAAACATAGCCTCAACCAGTTGCGCATATTATACGAGTACATAACAAAATAACGTTTTTTTCTTCAAATAAAACCGCGGATATTGTTATAATTTTATATTGATCACTGTAATGTTACGTCACAACTTATTATTTATAATAAATATTATTCCACTAAATAATAAGGTTTTTAATATGATGAGTTAAAACAATTATAAGTCATTGTAAATATATAACGAAGTCAGAATCATTAATTGTAATTTAATCTGATCGAAGTAATTATGCACTTTAGCTGCAATCAAAAGGCTGAGAGGTTAAAACCGTTTAATTAATATTGAACGGTATAAACAAGATAAAAATAAAAATAAATGTTTACAGAGTATAAATTAATGAGTTAAAATGTACTAAATATCTATTTTAAAGTATGAACATAAACATTATAATTTTATGTACTTTTTACGCTAAACGTTTGTTTTTCTGAAAACTAGAAGGAGTGGTGGTACTCAACAATATGTTTAAATGTATTATGACCTTGTATTTAATTAGACACTGACTGGAAGTTGGCATACATTTTAAACAATTCGTAAAACAATAACAATAATAACAGTTGGGACATGCAAAACCTTGGTCGTACCCGCAGAAGTAAATTTTCATTATTAGTTTATAGTCATGAAGTCATTATAAGTCACTAATTTATATACTTCTGTGAGATACATCGCCGTGTAATGATCAAATTATATATTTAAATACTAAAAAAAAAACTAATTGCCGTGTTGCATGCTTACCAACCGTAGTGTATCGTACAAACGTTTCTTTGTTTTCGATGAGCGTGTCGACAGCCACTTTTTCGCAATACTCGGCCGTGATGATGGCCACAGTTGGTTGCCGGTTGTAATGTATGATGGGGATTTGTTCTACAATCTAAAGCGAAATAATAATAATTTATGGCATCGGTCTTACAAAAATTGGTGCACGTTGTGCAATTTTACAATCTTCAGATCAATTCAATTCAATCTTCCCAGAGTCTATTCTAAGGCGCTGTTGAGAGTATGAGCAATTAAAGATAAACTATGAGGATGGGATCCTCTAATCCATTATTTTTATCATCTTTAGTTATAGAGTTGATGAAATCAATACTTTGTTTACGTAAATCCTTAGAATATACTCATGTGGATATACATGGTAAACATACATTTGAAAAATATTAGTATAATTATTATCATAATCTCTAACTTTATCGTGAAGGACAACTCTCGTGTAGCCACCATCGACGGGCTTGACGATCCCAGACTTTTGTAGTTCCTCTAGGTTATCCCTGATGTCAGAATGTTTCCATCCATGTTTTCTTTTGACAAAAGAAAAAAAAAATGGTATGAAATGCGGTTTAAAGTTCTAGCATCACAATAGTATATTTTTACTTGTTTATGTCGTCTACGGTTAGTGGATTGGGATAAGAAGATTCTATCAGTTCACGTAGTTTTACTCGCGAAATTTCCAAATTAACCGCCGTTGGGCTTTCAACTGATACTAAAAATAATAAGTAAATTAGCGTGACTTAACGGTCGTTTAGTCAGTAAATGCTGACGAGTATGAATATATTTCATACCGGGGATACCTCATAATGATATAACCATATAGAAATAATATTTTTTTAAGTATAAAAGTGAATTCGCTTTATATTGATAAATGTTGGTAACCTGCAGCAATATTTAAATGCAACAGATTTAAATAGATAGATATTTAAATAGATTATTTGACCATAAAAAATACAAAGAAAAGGTTATCGATGTCAAAAATATATTTAATCTTTTAAGCTCGCCACTAATCTGAGTATGAGTATCTAATGGTATAATGAAGCCTTTTATTTTTTCACCGTTGCTCTGAAGATTTCTCGAGACAACCACATTTGTGATAGTTACGTTCTTCTAAGTTCTGTCGGTATAAGCGCCCTAATCGCGCTAATGGTACTATTGCTTCAGATTATTTCAACGGTGTGTTAAATTTAAGGTAGATAAATTTTTCTATTTTGCTGACCATTACCAAAAACGTTCATACGTGATAGTGAAAAATTCTAACGATTTGTATTCGTTCCAAGGCTTATCACGTTACGTTAACTGGCATATTGATTTCTTGAGTCAAGTTACATAATAGTTTAGTAGGTAAACGCAATATCTGCGCGCGTATTTTAAAAATGTAACCTGAACGCAACTGTAGCCAGTGTAGATAAAATACCATTTTGTTCCGAGCTACTGCAGCGGATTAGGCGTGCAAATCAGCCAAACTGTTCATATTCTACTACCCTTGAATGGTGTCCCTGAACCGTAGGCTATATAAAGAGAAAATTCATCCAAACGATTCGAAGCGCATCCCTTTTCCGAGGAGTGGCGTGCGAAATTCAATGGCGCGATAATATAGTTGTTTACTTTTGAACACATTGTGCTTACTTAATTATAATATTTAAAAATAGGATCGATTGTTTCGGGAATTATTTCCACAGCGGTTAAGCCGCTAAACCTAATCCACTCGAACCGCTCTTATGCATCTGTTTGTACGATTTTGGCTGCCTCGAACGCGAGTATCTGGCGCACAAGTCAGAGCAATGCTAATTACAACGCGCTACGTCCGAGTAACAATGACAAAGGATAATTGGTTAGTACCTCGATTGGGCGCTGGCTTCACCGCGGTTTTCTCCAACTGTTTTAGTTCGATTTCAAGTTTGGACAGACACTTGTAACCCTTGTGCATCAACACCAGCAGTCTCTTCACGAAGCCCACGTAATCTGCAAACGACAATCGTAGCATATGAGTTTCGCACATGCGCCATGCAATATTTGTAGAATACACGTGTATATTGTATACGTGATTCGTGATGGTCATGTGCATACCGTGGGGGAACCGATCCGGCAGCACCAGGTCCTGGAAGAATTGTGAAGCCGTCGCCGATGCGTCCGCTGGCGGTTCGTCCCTGTTGCACCAAAACCGTATGGTCCGCCTCTCTTTCGTGTGCACACCAGTTTGGCCGTTGACCAGGCATACGGTGAACTGAACGGAAGTGTCAGCTGGCGTCTCGTCTCCATCATCTAACGTGACAGACTGCGGTTTTATTTTTTATTAAAATAATAAAAAAAAATTAAATAAAAAACTGAAAAATAAACCATACACTGCAACGTGCATGTAAAATACATTTGTATACGGGTTTTTTTTTTAAGTTTCTCCATTACTTACCGTATTTTCTGAATTTGCTGATCACGATGCCGCTATGCTCTCCACCAGCTATGTATTCGTTTTTCTCGTTTCGTTCATCATTGTTGTTGTCTACCTGACGTTCGATCACCAACACTGTGGACGTCACGGTTTTGGACTTCGTTAACAGCACCACTCTTTCTTCTGTTTAAAAAAACGGTTGTGTTCACCATAGTTTTTTTTTTTTAAATGATAACTACCTATAACGGGAATAGTATATGCGAAGCAGTACCTATAATAGTGTTTCTAATAGGAAAATCGTAATATGCTAAATGTTGATACAGTGACATTGTTTGGGATGAGTGATGACAGAGAATCGATATTTTGTCATAAAAACTTATAGGTTGGAAAAAAGTAATATGTAATCATAATCACATCGCTATATAGTGCCGTTCTATGAGGGGTGGTGGTTATATCGAAACTGACGATTTGATAATACGAGTAAATACCGACTTAAAAAAATAAAACATTTCCACCTATTATAGTTGATATAATTGTCCTTCGGCATTAAAGGCGGACCCATTTTCGTTCAAATAACATTTTTTTATCCAAACTCAAAAAGTGTGATTTGGTTTTCGCTTAAATAATTTTATTTATCGTAAACGAAAAAAACATTTTGATTAGTAGTGTATTTTTTTTTATTGAAAATTTTATGAAATCTGTATACAAATTATTTGTTTAAGTTATGACAAGTAAATTTGATAAACTCGTACAATTTCTCAATATTAAATAAGAAACTGTCTAGTATCACTCACAGATACTAAAATATTTTCGTATAAGTTCACACTATCATTCCTATTAGTCCGCACCGATAAACGCATAATATTTAATATTGTAATTGATTACTTAAGTGATACCGATGCAGAATTTCACTCCTTTCGGCCACACTGCAAACACCAATATAAAGTAGGAATAAGTAGTAATTGGAAATCTCTATCGTTCTGTCATATCTGATATTTCAGACGCTTTGGTCGAACTAGGACACTCGGTCACGCGTGTGGTTAATATCAAAAAGAGCCATCGTCCTTTACCATTGTTCCACATAGAATTCGCTCTCAATGAAAATAACCAATAAATCTTCAAGATTAATACAATCTCGTCCAGTCCATCATGCACCAGCATAACAGCCGCCAAACCAACATCCAATACTTCCGATTCAATGTCAAGAATTTTAAACTAATTCAAAACTTTATTATACTCTTTAATTTCTCTGCTTTATCTTTTTAAACAAACTCACACTAAACTACCCATAATTGGCAATAATTTCAATATCAAATCTCTTATCCGTATACATCATTAAAGAATTATTATTTATATTTAATAATAAATATAAAGCATATCAAATGACTGAAGTATTTAATTACTTTGTTAACATTAGTGTCATATCATAAATTACATAAATGTCATTCGTTATATTATATTAAATGTCAAAAACCTTAAAGCATTAATTTACTAAAACATTTTAAATTCAATAAATATATGTAAAAAAAGTAGAAAATCGTAGCGTGTGATCTGACCAAATTTGTTCTGTGCAATTTTAAATTGATTAATTTCTTGTCACTTCAATAATGAGTATTCTAAAACATTTGTACGATTAATTTTAAAATAAATTTTAGTTTGGATTTCATCTTTTAATCTTTGACCAATCTAGAGTTTCCTCTATAAGTTGAAATGCTGAATGCATTTTATTGTTTTTTTTTCACACGACTAGTATCAATAAACTTGTACACAGTGATAGTCAAAATGGTTTTTTCGTTTAAGATAAATACAATTTCTTTGGATGAAAAATAAATCCCTTTTTTATGAGTTAGGGTAAAAAGATAATTTCGACGAAAACACCTACGGCCGACATTTCGTTTATACAATGTAATCTACAATACTTCAAGGAATCACAGAAACTAAAAACGTAGAATACCTAAAATACCTACTTTATACCATGGGTATAAATAATATATCGAATACACGCGTCATTTAATCCGGACTTGGAATTTTTTTTATACAAGGTTGCCTGGTTAAATTGTTACCATATTTGGTTGCGATTTGATATTAATATATAAATACAAGGTTGATTTTATTTTATTCTACATATATCCTATTTATACACACCTAAAAGGTCTCGGAAGTCGCGATTAAGAATTTTTTTTTCGTAAGCACTCCAGCATGGCTATAATCTATATACCATTAAAGGTACTACGTAAATTGCAAAACGCTTTCCATTGAATGATTTGTCTCATTGTTTTCTAAAAAAAGAAAAGACCATTGGTCACACCCATACACCTATTGTATTTTACTCAAAATTTGTTTCTAATTTTAGTTCATATTCTATATTTAAGCTAGGTTTTTTGTTGAACCTCTTTCTGTGTCTCGAAAAAATCGTTGTAAAATTTTTAAATACTATTCAGATAGAATCCCCTAATCAATTAGAAAAACTAAATTGTAAAAAATAAAAATATATCATTGTAATAATAATACATTATTTGTCATTCATTAAACATTTAAAAATATACTTCAACGGTAACATGTTGATGTTAAAAATTAACGAAAAAAGATAAACTATATACTTCAAAACTATATAACAATAGTCTCAAACTGCTTTTTAACTATATTATAATAGTAACTTAACATAATAAAAACAGCGTAGCAGATGTATGTAAATTATAAATGAGATAAATTATTGTTAGAATCTAAATTACCTGTAAGCAATTGCTGTGACGAATTATAATTTTAAATATGAATTCTTCGGTGAATTATCTCACTAAAAAAGTAATTATGAGCAGAAAAGATAGATTGACTATAAAAATCTTAATATTTGTACAACTAATAATATTGTTATTCAAAATTTCCAAGGTATTTTTGGTGTATAATATATATGTATACTTAGTTCATAATGTATTATGATATATATGTTATAATCATGTGTTATAATATGATAAAAACTATACATTTAACCTTGTACTATAACCGCAATATTTTATAATTACTATTACTACTGATTCTTTGAAAAAATTTTAAAAATATTGAGATTTTTTATAAATACATAGTGTACTCGTATTTACATTTATTGTCAATAAAAAAATAAAAAAAAAAAACTGTTATTCATGGAATTTTATCAAAAAATGTACACAATATTGCAAGAGTAGGTATTTATTAGTCATATCACTATAGTACATTATAATTTCACCACACGGTTATAACATTAAACTTTTATAAAGTACTTACGAGTACTAACCTAACTAAAAAATGTGGCAATTCAAAAATTGTTGAAACTATCATTCAAATGATTTATGTTATATACGTTAACTAGCGGGGAAATGATTAAAACGGTATTAAAAAGCTAAAGGAATTTCAAATGTTCAAAACATACGTTACATAAAATAACTTGGCCCGGAAATTGAATGTATGATTGTTTTTCGACAGTCACGCCTATACTTAGCTTACATCGTAAAAAAAAAAAAATAGTTTAATATATTAAGTTAGGGATTATTAGTTCCCGAATTGGAGCAAAATAATCTAAATCGATTTTCTTATAACTAGTTTGCGGTGATCTGTATATGTATATGTGTAAGGTTATTTTTTCCCGTAATTTGTTGGTATACGGTCTCTCTTACGCTTGGCTGATCTATATACATTGTATTTCACTCAAATGATAACACAAAATATTTCCGTTCAATGATCTTGGATTGAATTGGGGTTTCTTCGAGGAGCTAGGGAATACTAAAATACACATTTTGTGATCATTTTCGCATTTTTAATTCTTTTATTGTGCGCATACCCAATAAAATTTACATTTTTTTAAATGGCAATATCTATTTTCAACAGCAGATTTAGATTTATTTTTTTAAGCAGCTTTGGTAAACAAACTTTTTTCCTATTTCAAAAATAAAAATTTACTGAATTACAGCAAACCTAAGTTTAAATAAAAAAGATTTTTGCTGCAGTTTTCAATGTTTTAAATTTTATCATTTTATTATTATTTTTGGATAACACTATGTAGTTCATTACTACCTACCTTTATTTATTTTATTAAATGGCTATCTACTCTACCTACCTATTTTTGATTATTAAGTTATTTCACTGAAAATTATAATTTATAACAATAATTTGATTATTCAAACCAAGAATTACGTTCGTATTGGATATATTTGAATTGAATACTCATTTTTATGAGTTTTATTTTAATATTCCCGATTATTTTTAATACAAAAATTATAGTCATAGTGAAAAATTAGATATGATATTAGTTTTTAATGAGTATCATCGAAATTCTCGCCAAGCACAACTATACACCAAACGATATCCCAATAGATATTAACCAGTCCATAATTATTATTAAGACCCCAAAATTAAATCCGAACTTATGGTTCATTAATAATAGAAATAGGGGAAGATATATAAAAATAGAAGCAATCGTCGTCAAATACTACAAGTATAGCTGAAGTTAACGAATAAACTGAAATACAAGTATTGGCGAATGTTCAAATGAACGCACGATCATCCATACGTCTTGTTGCAAATAAAGTTGGAGTTAATCCACGCAAGGTACGTTCAGTTTTAAAAAAAATTTAAACTTCGTCCCTGTAAACCGGATTTAGTTCACCATCTTCGAGCGGGAGATAGTGAACGTAGATTATTATTTATTGCGTGGTTACTGGTAAAAATTGTAGATAATTATCAATTTTTAAAGTATGTTCTGTGGACAGATGAAAGTAAATTTACCAATAATGGCGTGATTAATAAACAAACGTTTTTGGGTAAATAATAATCCACATTGGGCACTTGAAATTAATTTCCAAACATTGTGGGGAACAAATATGTGGTGTGGAATATTAGGAGATTCCATAATAGGGCCCTACTTTTAAGACGGAACCTTAAATGGAAGAATATAATTGGATTTTCTCTCTAATAATTTATCGCCAATGTTGGAAAATGTTCCACTAAATATTCGGAAAAACTTGTTTTTCGACAAGAAGGTATTCCAGCACATAATGCTAATGTTGTTAGACAATACCTTAACGATAAGTTTGTAGATAATTGGATGGGAACAAATAGACCGATAGCTTGGTGCGTTCGTCGGATGTTTAACTTAGTTAAATAATCTCTAAACGCGTGCCCTTCCATTTAACTTGATTCCGACCAAAAATAATAATAAAATGATTAAATACAGAACATTGAAAAATTTATCAAAAATCATGTTTAAACTTAGGATTGCTGCAATTCAGTAAATTTTTGAGATAGGAAAAAAATTTGAATATCAAAGTTGCTTAAAAAAATAGATCTATCGGAACATGGTATTAAAAATAGGTGTTGCTATTTAAAAAAAATGTAAGTTTTACTGTGCGTACGCACGAAAAAAGAATTAAAAGCTCGAAAATGATCACATGTGTATTTCAGTACTCCCTACCTCCTCGAAAAAACCAGCAATACAATCCCACGTCATTGAACGGAAATATTTCGTATTACCATTTGAATGAAACACACTGTAATATAAAGTGAAAAAAAAACATGAAAAAAAAAAACAGCAAAAATGACCTCTTTTACGTACCGATTCGATGACATTTCTAAACGATTTTACAGGAGAAACTCACTGGAAATTCCGAATAGCCGAAAAAAATAAGAATGGGAATACGTGCGTAATAAAAATAACGAATCATTGCAAAACCAATATACGTACTTTGCCGGTGCACTCGGAGTATCATGTTCACCGGATACGGTTAATCGTAATTTATATTATGAAGGCATTACAAAGTCGTATATTGTAATAATACACGTGTATACGTTTAATTATAAGAAATGTCCTTTCCCGATCACGATTACGATTAGTTTTGATCATAATACCGCTGTCATTCGCGGTTTCCGGGCATACTGCTAAAGTGACTTACCTTGATTAGTCATGATGTTCAACACGTATTTGAATCTGACGTCACCTCTGAAATAACGGTAAAAATGATTAATATCGAGACGTTCGTAAATACGGAAACAGTAGGTCCACTGTAATAGCAATGCAATGTTATAAATCGTTTTGGAATCGTACACATATGGACTCTCGAGTTCGGGTAAAATAACCGTGCAAGAACATTTCAACGACAATGTCAAGGCGAAAATAGCGTTAATTTAGACGACCGCGGAACGCCATTACATAATTCGTGCTGACCATAGCTGACCCAGCTCACCTTTTCAGATGCGGCACATCGATCTTGTAATTTAAATCGAAAATCATTTTTTTTTCCTTTTCCCGGTGCTGACACGGTCGGAACGAACAACGAGAGGACGGAACCCTACCGTCTGCGGAGATACCTTCGTATATTCGGGGCTGGTAATAAGGGCCGGTTTATTTTTGATGTGTCGTCGTCATCGTCGTCGTGGAAAGGTTTGCGCGCGGCCTCCGTTTTATTAGACATTTTGGTGCCTGGCACCATATGGGTACGAAATTACGAATCACGTATAATATCACGAATAAAATATACAATACGGCATATCGATATTCGGGTTTGTAAAACAAGCGAAATTACCGTATAATATACATAGAACGCGTGTTGCAGATACGTAGTCGGATACACGAACGCGACGTCCGCAGCCCCCCCCCCCCCGGGACGACTCGCGGACGTGAAATCAATGTTGTTATGATTTTATTACGGCACGACCGACTGCGTACAAACACTACAAACACGAATAAACACGATTTACACCGCTGACACGTTACCGGGGAACACGTCTCGAAAACATCCGCGACAACGTCACACGACGAATGCATATTTGTACTCACGTCGGTGTATTTTTCACGGTGATCCGACTGCGGCGATCATGGAAACGGGCTTACGACGGTGCGACGTGCACAGGAACACGTTTTTTGGTGGCGCGTACCGGGTTTGAAAACGATCGCGCGACCGGCACACGTCCGCCGACAAGGATTCACTGCCGGTGCCAATCAATTGCAACTGTGTCGCCGCGGCCGCGTTTAATAACACGGCAATAATGATAGTACGTGCATAGGAGAGTGTGCATAGGAGAGCGATGGGGGGGGAGGGCACCTCTGCTCCGCCAGTTCGACCCCGGTGGGAGCGTTTGACGAGGGGCGATGGGAGAGGGGGGGGCGGTTTCGTCAATGGCGATAGGACTGCGAGCACGTGTACACGTACCACCGACGGCTGTACGTGCGTACTGCGAGACGGTCGTCGCGCGAGCGGTTGAAGAGGGAACGGACGAGGGGAAAAAAAAAAATAAAAAAATAATTCGCTCGCACGCGCGTCAAATCGACGTACGGTTACGTACGGTGTGGCCGTACCCGGTTAGGAATACGTGCGCGGAAGGGGTTATCTGGAGCACGCGGTACGCGCGAACCGTTGTATTTACATCGAGCCGCGTGCACGTTTCACGTTTTATAACCGCGCGGCGTGTTCGCGTTTTCAATGTTTTTTTCGATGCGCGTTCGACAGTCCGTACACGGGAGAAATGGGGGGGGGGAGGTTCGCTTCGAACTGTCATCACGTCCGCTCGTCCGTTTTCCACGGCTTCCTGATCGGGGGCGGCTCCAAGTGGAGCCTAGGGGCCGCGGCCCTCCCAAACCCGTACCGTATTTATAAAAAAAAAAAAAAAAATGTAAATTCCTAACAAAAAACGCATATTGCAATACGTACAATATTATACGACACGCACGAGTATGTAGATAGAGCCGTAGAGGTATGACGGTGAATACGATGTACCTGCTATCTGTATTATGAAGGACCAATAAGGCTATAAGTAAACTATATTAATATAAAATATACTATGATATTATTATTTTAAATAAATAAATCCTTCTTTGAAGAAATCATCAGACGAATTGGTTGTACCTCTTACCAAAATCTCAAGAGGATGGCACCTGACAGACATGATGGGCTACAACAACAAGGCTTTTAGCCTTTAGAAGCTGATGAATATCAAAGTATCGAACAATGTATACCCAAGTTATTGTTAGTTGAAAAACAATCGAAATGCAATAAATATAATGAACAATTAATAATGAGATACTTATTAATCACTTTTGTTTTTGCGAAAAGTGATTTACATTAGGTTTCAATATGTTAAACAAAGTAAATCATTACTTGCGAGCAAAACAAGTAAATTTGTAATACATATAATATTGATGGTTTATGTTATACGAGATGACCTTTTCTGAAATAGGCTAACCCACAGTAATAAAATCCTGGGTACGCCATTGATCGTCCTATATGCTATATAACTTCGAGTAATTAATCGCCGACATCTTTCATTAAATTTTAAACTGTACATTAGGTGCAGCTGATGGATCCTGAGGTGGCATACGCATGAGTGAAATTAGATCGGAGGAATAGCTATAAATGGATGCTTAGCACTCCCTGTTTCGAGATCGGCGTTCTCCAACTTTTGACTACGTGCTCCTTCGGTAAAATTCAACACTTTTTTTGTTGCTCTAATAAATTTAGTTTTTTTTTTGTGTTATTTTTTTGTAGTTTTAATAAAAATAAATGCAATTCTAATGTCCACACTAAAAACTATATATAAATATAGAATTTGAATATGGCAATGAATCTATACTGTTTCTAACCCAGTAACAATCTCAAATCCCAATAGTAATTCATACTGCCGCATACTTGAACAGCGAGCGATTACGATGGACTGAACTATTTATGAGTTCCATGTGTTGACAGTAAACAGATGTTGAAAGGTTTTAATAAATTATTATTTATCTTCGAAATAATCTAATACTAATGCAATAGGCTTAATGTATTTTAAATTGTTCTGTATCAACTATGAACAAAAAAAAAAAAAAATTTATTATATGATATGAATGTAATATAATTTTCATAATTAATATTAATACGAGATAGATGTTAAATTATGTTTATTATGGTTTGGTTGATTAAAAGAGCGATGGCATTAGACTCAACCACACCCATAAATGTTATTTAGTCTATAGCTTATAGGTTATCAAAATTTAAAAAGAAAATATACAATTCTATAAATTGAAATGGGCTTATTTGACGTATATAGTAAGCAAATTAGTATTATTGTATTATTAATATTTTATGTACGTAAAAGAGTAATATTTTACCTTAGTTAAAGCTTATCATAAGTGAAATATTTAACTTAACATGTTATTAAGTAAAATATTAAATGTGATAGTTGTATTTTATACATTTTACAATCAATACGAAGAAAATAATAATGTAAAGTATCAAATAATAAATCGTTTTCTAATATAATAATATGGTAATATTATATACGATATAATATAACATGTACATTTAATATAATTATATTTATCATTATTTTTTGATGTAAAAACACACTTCAGCTATTTGTATTAAAAAACATATTTTCGTTCATGTTACATTTCGTAATAATACGTTGACTCTCTTTTAAATATAAATATGTTTTTATTTTTTTGACAATATTCCAGGAACGTAGATCACGCTACTTTTGACGCAAATCAAGTATTTGAAGAGAGGGTACACATTATGCATGAGGTTTTTTGACATTTGAGTGAATGAAAAAATTTGTTATGTATTATCGTCATGAAAACCTATATAATATAATAAATTTTTTTAAATTACTACATCCGTCTTTCTGCGTCACTCAATATACATATTGTCATACACGAGACTATATTTCTATATTATATTTGTGGTGTATAACGAACAAATGCTAGGATTACCGTGATAATATACTTATCGTATACCTACGAATGAATTCGAAGCTATGGTTTTCATATGTGGAAAAATATGACATCAATTCGACCATGAGTGTAAAATAAATATCGAAAAACAGAAAAACTTTTTATATGAACATCAAAAATCAATTTTGTTAGCGTAATAGCGTCGGTTTTATAATACGTTACATTCTTAATGGAAATAGATATAGGGAATTTAAAAGCAAAATGTCTCGATCGATAATTGTTAATTTGTTTTCATGCTTAGTTATCACTTTTGATATCAGCAATAGAAGAATATCGCTATCGAGTAACTCAAACCTAGCGCCTATCAACATGAAGTCGAGAAATTTGTTTGTTTTGGTTGAATTGTGGGTCGTGGTAGAATGACGGCTAAAATTGTTTAAGTGCCGTAATTATTTTGATTAGATTACCGTTACAATATTATACCACCGTAATTGAAGAATATGATGTTATCGGATCTTTATATAGGCGTATATAATATTACATTCCGAACCATCACATTTCTGTAAAAATACGTTTGTGACGAATATTTGATATCCGACCGGAATCCTTAAACGGTTTTTTTTCGAATTCGTATTTTTTTTTCCGTCCTAGTTCCCTATAGAAACTTCTAATAATTCGGCGAATATTATCCTATAGCGAATATCATTATTTTGTACCGGTAGTTATTTGATATATTTTACAAACCATATGACCCTGAATATTGCCTACGCTACAGAACGTCACCATTAAAATATTTGTTAAGATAATAAATATTAAAAAACGTTGGTTTCGAATTAAAGTGTCTACTTTTGAAGAATTTCAATTTTGAATATTTATGCGATCGAATTGGTTCTAACATAAATTAATATTGTTTTCGCTTGATCGGAAAAAATGTGAAGTCGCAATCAAAATTAGCTTGTTAGTAAAAACGGTTTTCCAATTTTGATATCTTTATGGTTATAGTCGCAATGTAAACACTTCAATAAATAAAAAAAACCTTATGATTTCTTATTTTGTTAAATTATAAGTGACCAATAAATAGTTGTTGTTTCGTTATTTTGCATACAATTATGTCAAAGCCTTAAACCTAAAAACCGACAGCTGACATTGCTAAATTTTATTTCCGGCCGAACAATCGTTAAACTATGTACTATGTAATGAATTTAATGAAGTCTATCTATCTTTTGATTTCCGCTTTTAAATACCCTAAAATAATGCTATATATACACAAAGATGTATTATTGATGTACTCTAAAAACACGTTAAAAATTTAAAAAAAATAATATTATTTTTTTTAAGGTTTTCTAATATATATACACTATAAGTATCGATACCCGTTTATTTTATGACTGTTGTAAATTTTTGTTCTTCTATTTTAAAGTTTCTGTTAATTTTGAAAAAAATTGAACACTTCTCTAACTTTATTTTTAAATAGAAAAATGTATTTAATTTTGTTATAAGATAATTTTAAATTTATGCGGCCCATTAGCTTTACGTTCAATACAAGCTGCCGAACACGCATTTCAAGTTTTATAAATAATTATTAAGTACACGTGTATGACGTGTGTATAAGCGTACGTTATCCTATACCAATTTTTTTTTCAATTATATCAGAATATTTAAATAAATAGTGTATCAATCAAATCAATATAATGTAAAAGTCAAGTCTTAACTGTTTTTCTCTCAAAAATTCAAATTTTAGTTGCATTATCTATAAACTATATACTATATTCGATTTACCCTATCGAGTATGATAGCTTTACCGCCAGAAACGATCACAATACGTTAGAGCAGGGGTCGGCAACCCGCGGCCCGCAAAGCAACTTTTTATGGCCCGCACAAAGATGGTTAATTTTTGTGTTTTATTTTAGTTCAATAAAATGTT